GCAGAAGAAGAATTTTTTTTTCATTAAATATTCTATTGTATAAAACAATGTCATATTAAGTTTGGATCGCTGATTTTGTCAATAGTTTTTAGTGTCATTGAATAGTTTGCAAAAAAGAAATATTAGTTCATTTGTTTTTGTTTTTTATTAATATAAACACAAGTTATAAATGAATGAGAGATTTATTAGATTTGGAATATAAACATGAATTACTACATGTCAGTAAGGGAGTAGAAAAAGAAAAAAAAAAAAACCATGATAAGTGAAAAATATAGGTTAGATTTGTAAATAATAATGATATTGATGAAATTAACAAAAGCGAACGAGAATCAACATGAGAATTAGATATACTTATAAAATTCAGTTTGTTTTTTTTTCGCAGTGAACTGTTTGTCTATTACCATTCACATTGATTTGACGCGACAATTGAAAGTAATTGCATTTCAGTTCTTCTCATTAGTCTTCTTTTTTCTTCTTTCGTTCTTTTTATTATTCGATAGTCTTTATCAACGAAGCGACGGATAGAGAGAGAGAGAGAGACATAGAATTGTTCGCCATAGGACATACTTCATGTGCATTTATGTTCTTCTACCATCACCCATATTCCCAAAAGGACAAGCCAACTCAATAAAGAAGAAAGAATATATAGAAGAAAAAAAAAACATGATTGTTCGAGGGGACCGATAGCACATTGTCCTTGTTGCATTCTATTAATTCTACTGTCTGCATGACAAAACCAAGAGTAGAAAAACAGTGCGACTATTATCTATCGAACATAATCTATTGATTATCATTATTATTAAAATTTAATTTACCTATTGTTACACATTATTCTATCGATTAATATTGATCATTCATTATATAGTTACAACAAAATAATGTGAATATTCTTTGTTCCATGCTCGACATTCAATTGCAAATGTACATTTACGATGATACACATTGAATACGTGAAAGAAAAAAGAAACATATAGTCTCACCGTGCGTCATATTCACTCGTGCGTGAAATAGCAAGTGATCAGGAATAGTTTTACGTACCTGAATAAAAAAAAAAAAAAAAATCACAGAATATAAACACATTCGACAATAAAATACGTATACAGTATGAGTAAAGAAAGAGATAGACGCATGTTCTTCTTAAATACGATATGTTTATCTGTTCGAAGTTGTTCTTTTTTATTCCTTTTTCTTTTTCATTAATGACCGACGAAAGTAAATAATAAAACGTAAATGTTTAGGTGTTGAGTGGTGACAACGAAATATTAAAAGAAGATATTTATTACTTGATATTTTTTCTGTATACAACAACAATATGCTTTTTCGTCGATCTCGTATACGTCCTGTAGTTATACGGCTTTGTATTATTTCATTAATTATAGTATTATTTTTACAATTTTCAGCAGTATTTAATAATAATGATAATATTCCAAAAAGTAAATTTGATGAATTATTAACAATAGAAGAATTATTTTGGCAAAAATTATCTAATAAAGATAAAACTTTAACGAATGAACAACGTATTACACAAATCGAATTAATTGATCAACAAATGAGAAAAAAAGATTTTAATTGGACAAAAATATTTTTTGATAGTTATAGAAGAAAATTATTAAAAATTAATGAAAGAGATGTTAAAACAATTCATAAATATCGATTTAGAAATAATGAAAAAAATATTTCACAAGAAAAATTTAAAATATTTGAAGAAACTCTAGTGAGTTATTATATACAGATTTAATTTTTAATAACTTTTGAGATTTTCATAGAATCCGAATTACATCTTGAAAATATCTGGATCACAAAGGTTAAAAGAAAATTGCGAATTTTTCTAGCTTCGTTTTATCGTCTTTCATTCGAATAAAAAGATCAAAATACTGAGCATAAATCCAAAAATACACGTTTCTTTTTGTGTGTAAAATCTGCCAAAAGTCAACACTTATTTTCTGTAGAAATTTTCTTGTATGTGTCAAAACCTTAGGAAATTATTATTAGGAGAAGTTTGTATACAACAAATAATCGCAGAGATAATTGTTCTGTTAGAGATTTCACGAGTTCAGTTTTATAAAAAATAATAACTAATAGCGAAAAGCCCTCATTTCTATGGCATTTATCTCCTTAAAGAAGTGAAGTTTATAGGGAAAACACGGGTATTCTGAGATCGACAAGATTGGGATGACGGTTGATAACTCAAGAGACTGATTGAAGATTTTAAAAGCAAAAATTTTTCAAGACTGAAAGGTCGACTTCATCCCTCGCACAATGGGCATTTTTCAATAGAAAAGGCAAACATGTATTTTATTTAGAAAGACCTTATTTTCTGCTTAACTTTGCTTTTATGATTAGCTAGTATATATGAAGAGCTCAAACTATTGAGCGCAACTACTCTGCGTCAGGCCGTTCCTTCAATATGCTACTATTAAAATCTGTTTTGAAAGAGTAATTTAATACTTCAGAAGCACGAATCCAGCCTTTGGAAGGACGCTGCTCCCCCTGGCCTCATGTCGGATAAACCACTGATGAAATATCTTGATTTCTATTCTACATAGATCATCTATTATATGTAGGTATTTGACCGTCCAAAATTTTGCTCATCAAAACGTATATTTCATCCTCAATGTCCATATAAAAATTGTCAATGGAGTTGTGATAAACCATCGATTAATAATAAAACTCTTCGTCGTGCAAGTATATTTCATCATATTGATATAAAACAAGATGAAATGCGTGAAAAACTTCAACATCGTTCATATAATGACATATGGATATTATGGATTGATGAAGCAAATCGTCAAATAGAAAATTTAAATCAATATCAATTTAATTGGACATTAAGTTTTCGGCAAGATTCTGAAGTTTCAATTGGTACATATGGAATTTTAATAGAAAAAGATGAAAAACAAATATTATCAAATGATAGTTTATATAATAATTTAGAATTACTTGAAATCTTAAAAAATCATCATATTGAAGTAACCAATATACCATTAGAAAATCGTATTTTCTTAAATTATCGTTATCGTCATAAACATGCTCTTTGGTTTGTTTCAAATTGTCAACCTCAACGTCGTCTTAAATATTATAATGAATTAAAAAAACTTTATTCAATCAATGGATTTGGATTATGTGTTAAAAATAAATGTGATAAAAATGATAATTGTGAACATAAACAATCTCATTTAGCACTTTTTTATTTAGCATTTGAATCTCAAACATGTACAGATTATATAACAGAAAAATTTTGGCGTGCACTTTATTATGGAATGATACCAATTGTTTTAGGACCATCAAAACAATCATATTTAGATTTAGGTGTACCACATACAGCATTTATACATGTTGATGATTTTCAAACAGTTGATGAACTTGCAAATCATTTACAACAAATTGCAAATGATTATATTATTTATAGAAAATATTTTCAATGGTTAAATCAATATGAAGTATTTTATGATATAAATGATCTTGAACCAATTCGTATGTGTGAATTATGTATGAGACTTAATATGCAAGAATTTCAAGATCATAGTTTTTATACCAATATTCATGAATGGCATCGAAATGCATGCTAAACACAAAATATGTTGTTATTAGGTTCTTTTTTGTTTTTTTTTTAATATATTCAACTATTTTGAAAAGAAACACAAATAATTGATGAGATACATCTATCAAAAAAAAAAACACAATTGTATAAACATAAGTGAATTTCGCTAATGATTTGGTGTTTTTTTGTTCAGCACGATATAAAAGATATGAACTACTTTCTAATTGTATTTCTGACAGATTAAGTAAAACAATGATGAAGAAATATGTTCCAAAATGGATAAAATGAAATAGTATTCCAATGATTATCAACGGCAGCTATATAGAATGTTTCACATTTTAATCCTATCAGAAGTGCATTAACAGCTTTTGTATTTCCCATTTCATTCAAAAACCTATTGATCAGGGACAAAACTTTATTATAGGGCGAATATCAACTTGTTGAAAAATGGAAAATTATCTATTGATCAATAGTCATGAATATGTAGAGAGGTAAGCCGATTGACTGAGCCATCATCAATGGCTGTAAAATGTTTGAAATATATCAGTTGTCACTATTGCGGTACCAAAATAATTAGATATTTTGTTTTTTGAAAACTTCCGATGTTGCAAATCGGTCTTTGGAGCTGCTTTGTTCAATAAGTTCTCTAACATCGTTTCCTTTGTTTTTGTATTCCAAGATTTCTCGAAATTAAGAAAACATTTAAAAAGTGATCGAAAAATTTCAGCCGCGGCCATCGATCCATGCATCTGCTTACAATTTAGTGACCAGAAACATAATTCATATTAAAGCGATGGGAGTATTTGGTTTTGGTGATTTTTTTAAACTATGAGATCACCTAAAATTTCAGAAAACGTTCTTAGCTGATTATCTCCGCTAGAAAAATTCAGAGTTGAGAGATATGCTGATTTAAACATTATGAACCAGATACATGGCTATTTTCGAATCCGCATTATTTTGTTGTCTAAATAGCCAGCAAAAGGAAGTTTTCTCACATCAACTTCTCTGTCGAAGCTTGGATCATAACTTGAAAATTGCGACAAATACACTCATGTTTCCGTTGCTGGTTTTCGTTTGCCATCAAAACTATTTATTTCGAAGAAGGAATTCAAACAACAAGTGCTATTAATAGAATCCTATTCTTTCATAAACTACTCTAGTGCAGTTGTCTGAAACACAATAAATCGTCCTTCAAGTTTTAGGTTTGTCGAATGTATTTTGCATTACTCATTAGAATGTACGAGAGTTCTCTGAATTAGAAATATCAGACGTGCCGACTGGATGAATCAGAAGAAAAACAGAAGATGTGATCACAAAATAACACGAGAGCTAAATTCATTCAAATGTGTAAAAGAATCTCATTCGGATCTACAATTTTTGCGAAATGTGTATTTTTGACTATCTTTAAGAAAATGAATGATTTATTTGTAAAGCAATATCAAAATTTCAATATGATCCTTTAGATATGTTCATTGCATAATAGATCTGCTGCCTTTTCTGCTAGAGCGTAGACGGTCAAACAAGGCCCCATTTTTGATGCAAGACCCGCAGGGAAAATGGATGCATCCACAATTCTAAGATTGTTTATTCCATGAACTTTAAATTGATTATTAACTACAGAATCTTGAGCATTTCGTCCCATGCTACATGTACCGACGAAATGGGGAGCTGGAAGTAATGTATCTCTAACATACTTTGCCAAGTCCATATTTTCAAGTCCTGGTAAGATCTCGACGATGGGACCGAATTCTTTCAGCGTATCAGTTGCCATCATTTTCCTTACATAGTGAATGCTATCGATAAATGTTTCCAGATCTTTCTTATCTTCCAAATAATTCAATGTTATTTCTGGTGGCGCTAGTAGACTAGTCTTGTGCAATGAAATCGAACCTGTTGGAGATTTCGGCAAAGCATTCAATATGTATATACTGACATATTTTGTTCTTTGATCCATTTTTAAGATAAAAAACATGTTTGGATTGGTACTTGTTGTGCGTGATTGAAGATTAACTAAACCAACAGGTTTTGATTTATAGATAGGGAGATTTTCTACTTTATATCGAACAAGTAGTACACCATTATCCATTAAATGTTTGCCTACATGTTTTAATTCATGTTTTATTGGTACTTGATGCTGTCGAAGAATATCTGGATCACCAATACCCGATAACATAAGAAGATGAGGACTGAGAAATGTACCAGCAGACAAAATATAATCTCTTCTAGCAATACCACAAAAGAACCCATTTGAGGATACAAACAAAACATTTTCGATGTGCTTTGTTATTTCATTCAAGTTGAACTTAGTTGCAACAGCATTTGTCATAACTTTTAGATTTGGATATTTCATCATTGCAGGTATCAAATAGTCCTTACCACTCCAACTTCTCAATCCATCGGTGAACGATGCGGCTTCAAATGACAAGCCATGATCAATTGTGCCTGCAAAATCCTCGCTAAATATTTCGTTGAGCTCATCAGCCACATTTTTCCATACATTTTTAAATATAGCATCATGACCTTGAGTTATTTTTATTGGACCATTGTTACCATGAATGTTCGAAGTTTGGGATAATCCTGCTGATGTAAAATTTTCAGACATCTTATAATATCTAGCCATATTGTCATAGTGAAAGGTTGGGTCACCTGTTGCATTGACAAATGCATTCCAATCGTTGGCCATCATGCGTACCATTCCACCACTGTTAATACTATTTCCTCCAAGCGTATTCCATACTGTGAGACCCACAGTCCGGTTATTGAGATTTGGTGATGATTTCGTCGGGAGGTAATGTTTGAAAAGCGGAGTACGCTGTAAACGAACGAACTCTTCTTCGTGATTCATCAGGGGATTTAATGTGTCATTTGATCCGCTGGATATTAGAAGAATTTCAAAACCATGTTCAGCTAATCGGGTAGCTAAAACACATCCAGCTGTACCTCCACCAACAATAATAAAATCAGCCACGATTTCTTTTACCATAGAAGACGTTATAGTTTCTTTTGCGTTCTCTAAACAATGCAGCAACACTTTCTCAATGTTACTACTACGCAATATAAGCAACGAAATTAAAAAATCTGTTCACTTGTAGTCAAATTCAAAGTTCATGAATCAATAGTCATAGAATCAGTCAACACTTACTAGAGAATCGAAATTAACTAACTAGGACTTAAAATCTTTCAGCATAGTAACTGGTGCATGCAAGCCTGAAACATGATGAAGCCGCTCTATACTCTTATCAAGAATCCGTACTATGAATAACCATGGAAATTGCATCAAAAACAATTTCATAGACAAATTACGAAACATGTTTATTGACAAGTTCTTAAGTGAACTTTTCGCTTATCCTATTTTTTTTGTCTGCTTTCATATAGTCATTTAAGAGTTTTCCATTGTTAGTTACAGAGAACATGAAATACTGCATCGAGTAATATCGTTTCTGCCTTGAAGCACTCTTTCTTTAGAAAGATTTCAAAAGAAGGTTTTCGAAAAAAATATACTTTGTATCATGGCATGACCCCTGTTTTCTCGGTCCACTTTCAATATTACGCTACACATCACTATTTTATTTGGCATTACTTTTTTAACACTTCAGTTTCCATTTTCGGAGAGACATATTTACACTTATACAAATAGAAAAAAAATACATGAAAAACTATCAAATGATTATGAAATTTCAAGTGCCACTGTAGTTCTTGAGATGAATATCAGGTGAAAAACTTCGAATGTTTCATCAACCTTCCTGAAATCTTCACTCTTTATTAACTCATTTATTGAGGCAAGCCACGACGCTTGAATTCTTTTTTTTTTAATAGAGCTGTCCTTTCAAGACTTATCATTTTGACTGAATTCGAAGAAAACTTGTAGTTTTTCAGATTATTATGGAAGTCGACTTAATTTTGCGTCACGGCACTTCGAGCCTTTGACTACTGAGGTTCTTCATTAAATTTCGTCTTCGAACTACTTTTATACTTTACCTACTCGAATTCGTAAGCAGGCATATGAGAAAGAGGCTGTAATGCTCATCGCCGAAACAAACACTACCGAAAAACAAGATCGCCGAAATAAATATTATCGCAATAGAGATCATCAATATATATATATATCCGAAGTTATTATCAATGAGCTTTCCTATAATCTTTTTGATTAAGCGAAGAGCATACATTCCAATCAACTTACCAGTGATATCGTCAGATCGTAATACAGGCTTTTCTTCTATCTTGTACGCATCGGCAATCAATACAAGTAGGAAACACATTACGAAGCTAAATATTAGAATACGATCAATTGGTTCATGAGGCAGAGATAAATCATACTTACCATAATACTGTCTTCATCATAAGCATCGTTTTGTACAGGAACTGATGTCGTCAGTGTTGTTTAGAACTACATCGCATTTATTTCTGACTGTTATTTATATAAGAATGTCGAAAGGATTAACTAAGACTATCGCTATCTTTGCTATTTACCAAATTTGCTTTGTGACAATCAATCATCATTTCATTTTGCATGAGCTTAACATTTTCTCTTTATTTTATAAAGTGTCTTGATCGTTTAAAAGTATATTTTACTAAAAAATATGTTTTTACTATTTCAGTTTGATTGCAATTGTAGATAAAACTATTAGCAGTCATGATAAAACTAGGGAAGGCACGCGTTAACTTTAAATTTTAAAAGTTAAAGTGCAGAATTTTATTACGAAAGAAGTTTTATTGAGAAAATAATGAAATGTAGAAAAGGATTTAAGAAAGTAAATCAGTTTAGAGCAAGCGGAATCTGCTATCGATTTCTGAAAATACTACACTTAATTTCTTTCTCAACTTACGAGGGAAGTATCCAAAGTGTTCCCTCGATTTAGAGCTCATACTTTGACTACAAGCAGACCTCAGTATGACTAGCGAAAGCCTAAAAGGATTGATGTCCATGGCTCTGTGGTCAAGAGTTATGGTCGTTTTATTGAAATTTTTGACTCATAGCCAGGTATTTTCGAAAAAAGCGAACTAAGAATTTTCGACTTGATATTTTGTCTATAGATCAATGTAATTGCTATTAGAATATCCTGCAAGTATCAACAAAAGCGAATGTATCTTTCTCGAGATATGGAATTTACAAGTAAACTCGTGTGGCAAGTGACTATTTTTTGAAAACTCAATATCTCGACAAAGACACATTCGTTTTTGTTGATACTTTCAGGATATTCTAATAGCAATTACATCGATCTATAGACAAAATATCAAACCGGAATTCCTTAGTTCGCTTTTTTCGAAAATACCTGGCTATGAGTCAAAAATTCAATATAACGACCATAACTCTTGACCACAGAGCCATGGGTACGAATCCTGTTAGAGTTTTGCTAGTCATATTGAGGTCTACTTGTGGTCAAAGTATAAGCTCTAAATCGATGGAATACTTCGGGTACCTCCCTCGTTAGTTACAGTAGAGCTTCTTCGAGAGATCGTTTAAACGTAACATTTGGTAAAGCTAACCAAAGCTTTTGATCCCCTTCATCTGTTTAGTCTTTTTTCAAAGTTTATTCCCCAACTTTATTTTTCTTTCAAATCCTCATCTTCGGTAAACATTTAAATGAAAATACTTCTTCCTTTCACACCAATATATCACTACGCAATTTTTCAAACTATAGTCTACAATACATGTTATTGTGCTAATAGCTTTTTCTAGATTTTCACTAGCATTGAAATGAAGCTTGGAGTGATGAATATGCTATTGGTAGAAATAAATGAAACGACGATGACGATGTACTGATGAGTTATTCTCATAATTGCACACTCTGTGCTATATTGTGAGCTTGAGAGAAGGATAAAAGTCACGTTTTCATAGTGTTCTCTTTTGGTGGAAGAGCAGAGTTTAACATTTTTGATTATGTATTTGATCTGCAGACTAATTTGATTACTAGAATATTCCGAAAAATCTGCTCATTTACTCAACGTCTCTATTAGCAATAATCTATAACGAAAATCTGACTTCAATATGATGTTGACGGATACGTCAATCGTGAACGTATCGGTGTGGTGCATACTGTATCAAATGAACAAGTTCTCTTATGAATTGATGAGTGCATATTCAAAGAGCATGGTCCTAGAACAGGGACTGTGAATTTGCGTACGAAACAAAAGATGGCGTACATCTCCGCTGATTTGACACTGCTGAGTCAACCGACTCGGTACTGAGTATAGTATAGATAATGATAGAAAATGAAAGACTCTACATTAATGAATAGCTTGTGATGCATTAAGACCTTTCTATTTTCACAGCAGCTTATTTAATTGTCGGAAATTGGGATTTATTCATTTCTCGACAAATATAGCATTCAGTTCTTTACAAAATCGTATTAGATAGAAAATCAAGAAGTTTCAGAAACAGACGCAGTTCTCTTAAAATTATACGTTCTCATTTAGAGCTGGTATTTTACTATTACTCTATAAAATAAAGATGAGTGAATCAGTTTTCTTTAAAGTACGGCTAAAGAAAAAGATTCTTCTCTTTTCACGCGATTATCATGTTAGAAGTGTTCAGAACCATATGAGTTATGTTCGAAAGGATTTTTATCATAAAATAAGCTACTTGAGATGGGATCAGTCATTGTTATTTCTATAATATTTCGCAGACTTAACTGACAAAAATGAAATTTAAATCGAAACTGATATCATATTGTGAATGGGCATAAAAATGAAGCTGATCTATAGGTTTATCAAAAAGTTAAGATAATTATTTTTTGATAGAAACATTTACGCGTACTTCGGATCAGGAGTTGATTTCAAAAAACGAATTTCTCCAAAAACATGCTTCAGCAATGATGAACAAGCTCTCAAGTTGTAACATAGTAGTAGAACACAAAATGTGGCATACATAGACAGTGAAAATAGTGTATTTGATGCATTAAATTTTTGACGTCAAATCTTGAAGAGAAGTACAGATAAATTTTTCAATGAAAAAAAAAATGATCCTAAAACATTTTGAAACACTCATAGCTCAGCTCCATTTTTTCTGCAGATTCAGAATATGATATTAGTTTCGATGTAAATTTTATTTTTGTACTTTAAGTCTGCGAAAATCTATGCAAAGAACAATAATTCATGTTACATCTCAACTAGCTTCTTTGGAATATAAATAGAGTGTATTTTATGAAAAAAATCTTTTTCAAAATGAGTTCTGTGGTTCAGAACACTCCCAACATGATAATTGCTTGAAAAAGAACATTTTGTTTTTCTTTACCTATATTTTAAAGATAAATGATTCATGCATCTTTATTTTATAAAGTAATAGTAAAGACAAAGGGTTATCACTATTCTCATGTCAACCTACATATTCTAATTATAGACTACAACTTGAGGTATTCATCTTCTAGAGTTTCAGAAACACATCTTCTTATTATGCTTAACAATTATCATGACCAAACTGTAATGTATTAGATTAATATTAGTTTCGTTTCAAAAGCAAAATCACATTTTTATTTGAAATAACTAGTTTTTCTTTAGCCACTGAATTTTATATCATTACATATCTTGATAAAAATTTTAACTACTAATAAGACAGTTTGTGAAATTCTACGAAATAAAAGATACTATTCGCTTAAATTTTTCTTTCCAGCTCAGCATAAACAAATTTCAATACAGGTGCGTTACTCATTTGTAATCCGTTGTTTAGAAAAATGCATATAGAATCCTCTGAAAAAGGCTCATTCTGAATTTATAAATACTGGAAATAATATCGGCAAAGCACAGAGACTTCGATTATGTATGGGTAATGTTACAAAGACCAAGTTGCTCTATGTTGTACTACCATGAGTTCAATAGAATGTCGATCATTGGATGATGTTTATAGTCCAAATTTCTACCATTTTGAATCACTCAAAGTATTGAATCAATTTAGCTGATAACCTTTTTAATTAATATTCCTTGGAACTTAGTATACTTCAAAGCACACTACAACTTACATCACTATAAGAGCAGTCTAAATGAAATTTTTAACGCTTCGATGAGTCTCCGTGGATTATTGTAGGCAAAATAATGTTTGACATTCGTGTCTGTTTTGATTCTACAGGATGACATCCAAGTGATTTCACTGAAAAACAGAACCTGCATATCTTTATCATATTTTGATCTGAGAGACAAATTGGATACGAATGAACAATCAGTGTTTATCGATTATATTAATAAGAAAAGCATCGACAAACAATATTTTGATATATCATAAACACTTGAACTGCAAGATATTAAAAAGTGATGAAAAAATTATATTTCAATTTTCCCTACATACTCTTACTATTTTCAACGATGAAGCTGACAGTATATTGATTATTATTTTATATGTATCTCTCTATAAGTTTAACAATAAAAGATTATAGCAGGGACTATTGAGAAAAAAATTATACATAGTCTACTTTCGGTGAAAGGGCTAACAACAGTATGGAATTCTCAACACTCTCAAAAGATTGCGGCGCGTAGTTAAAGCTATTAACGATGCTTTATTGTAATATTTCTTAACATACTCTCATGGATATGATCTGTAAGCATACCATATCATTGACACAAATTGATCCTATTGGATGAGTACATTTACGAGGGTCCAGTAAGTGTTGACTTCTATTTTACTTCTATTATATATATTATCGATTTGAAATTCAGATATTTCGATTTTAATGTTTCTATTTATCGAACATTTTACAATAAAAGACTTTATATGAGTGGTGGCTGAATTTCTTGAGAACGGCTGTGGACTAATATGATAACGAAAAATTATTAATTTTCTACTTATGCATATTTCATATAAATTTTGTTTAACAGACGAGGTTTAACTATTATAAAAAAAATATACTACGTACATACCAAATAATTTCTTGGTCGAATTANACAATCATATATATTTTGTACATTAGATACGAATAATATCCAACGAAGTCGTGTACTTATTTAGATTTAGCCATGATATTGAATTTTCAGTACTTAAAGACCAGTAACTTGGTTTTGAAAGACTCATATATTAGAGATACGATGTACAAAACTAATTAAACATTTTGGTTGAACTATTCTAAAAGTGACTTTCATATGCACCAATTTTAGATCGAAATTCGGAGATATGATTTTTCTATAAATTCAATATTTGTTTTATTCAATTGATCCATATATATATATATATGAGCATAATATGAAGGTAAATGGAGCGAATCACCTAAGAATGTTCGATTGAATGAGGGATCAAATGCTATGAGATTTGTTGCTACTGCTGAAATATCCTAGTCTAAATAAAAGGTCTATGTTGAGTTTTTTGCATGAAGGCAATCAAGTCCTGATTACGACTTGTGATTAGGATTTACGTTAGTATACATTTTACCTGATAGCAGAGCTTTTGATAAGTGCTTTACATATTCTATTAGATCTATATTACAATATAGTTTTTTGAATATCCGTTAGAGGATTAGCATCATTTTTTTAACGAAAATATAATTGACAAAGATTTGTCATGCTACATATGAAGATGATTATTCTTTGATAAAAATAAATTTTGTGATTACTCGTTTTTTTTTTTAAATGTAAACCTATTATGTTTTGTTCTATTTCATGATCGAATTCAAAATAAAATAAGATACTAATTTTACTTCTTTATTCAAATAAATAAAAATTAGCGATTAGAAGCAACAGTACTTTTTTGATGAAAAAGTTCGTATTAATTCACAATGGTATCTGAAAGTCATCAGGGTTTGCGTTTTTCTTTTGTGAATCGATGAGCAAAATGAATCTAATAAGATCATTAGTAGTTTTAATTGAAAGATAACTATATGTAAATATTAAAAAGAATTTATAATCTGTTTGATAATGATTATCTTTAGAATGAAAGATTCTTTTGTCAAGAATGTTACCGCCTAGCATAGAAATGAGTTTCAAAGAGAATTTACGAGTGCTCTGTCTTTTTGATGTTTCTGGAGAGAAGGATTCATTAGAGAAATTTGAAACTTTCAGAAAAGATAGATCTTGATCAGTAACACAAGTTTTCAGATGCTATGTTCAATTGAGCTGAAAGCTGTTATTTTCTTGTTCTTTAAATAAAAAAAGCAAAAATATTTAAGATATACAAAGAAACGCATGCTTTGTTTTTTGTAAGAGCTACCAAAAATCAGTTGAATAGTAGTTTTTCAAACAGCGCATAGCATATGTCATAAAAAGTTTCAGTTCGATCAGAATTCTAGACCGGAGAAATAAGGACGTTTTGGCACTTTTATTTTCATGAATAAGTTTGTTTGATTTCTTCTCGAATTTTTTGACTATTAGGTAGATATTACTTCAGACTTTATAATTGTCACATAATAAAGTCTTGAGTCACAAAATATGGCTGCATGCTATATCCTTAATTATAAATGTTAACCTTGTTTAACTATTTATCTCACTTTTTCGAAGAACAATGCAGTGATAAATATTAACTTGTACATCGTATCTCTAATATATGAGTCTTTCAAAACCAAGTTACTGGTCTTTAAGTACTGAAAATTCAATATCATGACAAAATCTAAATAAGTACACGACTTCGTTGGATATTATTCGTATCTAATGTACAAAATATATATGATTGTTGTTTGTCTCATTTATGAAGTTATGCCAATATTTCATGGTTATAGTCCTTGGTGAAACAAGGACTATCACAGACAATGAAAACATCTGTGTACTTCAGGACTAAAGAAGATTGAAATTTCCTATCAGTGGCACAGAGAAGACATGAAGAATTTTTTTTTTCAACATAAAGGATGGATATGAATGCTTGAAAATAATGGCGAATGAGAAAAGCCCCAAAAACGATTATATCTCTAGTAAATATTGACTTTAAGCACCTTTAATTTATTTTTGTTTTTTCTTCTAAATGTACTGGTCTGAATTTAAAATCAGTAGTAATGGCATAGATGTGAATCTTTCTTTCATGTACTCACAACCCACACGTAGCCATCTTGGCGAAAGATATTATAATAGTGTTATAAATGCTTTGTAATACTTAGATAATTTATCATTTAGTTGTTAAAGAAGAAAAAAAAAGGACACGTCATAATTTTTTTTCTTGACTAATATTTGATTTGCGCTAAAACATTATTATTATATCTCATACAATAAAGCATATATTTCGCTAGTCGGAAATTTCTATAATTTTTCACGACGATATTTTTACGAGAAAAAAAAAGATTCAAATTAAGAGATGTTTAGCGTTATTTCTCAAATCATCTTGGAAACATCAAAACAATATTAAAATAGAATAACTCTGTCTAATTTTCAAAAAAATACTTACAAATTAGCAAATAATGTAAAATCTTTTGCTTTATAACCAAGAGCAAAATTACTTTTTGTTAATCCAGCTTTCGTTGTACTATAAACATATTGATATCCAGCTAACCAACCTTGATAACCCAAAACAATAGCACCATTAAGTATAGGACCAGCAGCATCCGAACCAATATTTGTTTCAATTTGTGCTTTATCATGTACATAAGTTGTACGAAGTTCAGCTGTTTTTTTTCTTAAATAAATAAACAAAAAAGAATTTATTTTGTTTTGTTTTTTTGATATAAAGAAAAAAAACAACTTAATTATACCCTGTATGTGGAACAAGACTAGCATCAAAAACAACTTTAAAACCTTGTGCTAATTGATCATCAGCTGTTATTTCACATTTAAGTAAATTATCTGTATTCCATTTTTCCAAAAATGTTAAACCATATGTTGGAACTACATATTTAGTTTCAAGACTACCAAATGTTCGTGCTGTTTCAGTATTATGTTCACCAATTATATTAAAATTAACTCCATTGGCCGAACGTGTTTTAACATCAAGTTTAAATAAATTAAAAACTAATAAAAAAATATATATAAACGTGAATAAAAATAATTAATTGTAAAAAAAAAAATATTTACAAAAGCCTTTATTAAATATATCTGATACTTGTTTGTTAAGATCAGCATATTTTGGTGGAGCCATAGATTTAATTCAAGTACAAGAATATTGATTCCGAGAAAGTAAAACAAATAAATAATTTTATATATAAAAAAAAACACACACACAAGAGATAAAGTTATCCGAAATTTTTCATTGATGAAAATATTAACCAATGAAAAATACAATGTAGTGATTAAATATTCTCTTTTAAAATATGTTTTATTCAAAAAAAAAAACAAACAAAAAACTTCTATTAATATTTAACTAAAGAAAAAATTCTATTGGTAAATGTAGAATATAAAATACTGCTAGACAACGGAGGCAGTTACTCAGTTTAATCACAGTGCAATGGCAAAATTTGTGATCGCTGGTAACGATTGTCAATTGATATAGAAAATTTTCTTGAAAAAATATATTTTCTTTTAGGAAAAGCTAATTGTCCACATTATGCCAAAGCAGAATTATTAGGAGATTATCTTCAACGTAATTTACCTAATTTTACTATTCATAAATGGTCAATTCAAGCCCAGGTAAGGAAAAAAATGCAACAAACAACTAAGTAATAACAAAAAAAAAACAGAAAAGAATGATACGAAGAGAAGGTCAAGGAAAAAATGAACAGTAATTTTTTCTATTAATTTTTGTTAATGTGGTCATTGAAAACTAATCACCGATAATTGCAATTATATGTAATTTTGTACGGTAAAAGGCGTTTTATAATAACTAATGACAAATTATCCATGATATTATTCATACTTCTGAACGTTGAAAGATAAAATTTTTATCACATAAATATCGAACCATGATCATTAATCTCTCAAAGTTTGAGCTCTAACTTAACCCTTTGAGGCCCAGTGGGATATATATTTCCCACCTTGAGAATTTTGAAATCTTCGAGTTTTCGAGAATCTTGGAGAAATATTTTCAATATATGTTAGAAGCTAGCAGAGGTCCGTANTTTATTAGTGCTCTAGAATCGATTAACTGTCCTCTATCTAATGCTGAAACTCCCAGGTCTGTAGCTTGTTCCTGAGCCAAATGGCAAAGACATCTTTGGAGCCTACTCTCGAATTTTTCCCAATTTTGCACCCACCCTCGGATAAAAATATGGGATTAACAAAATCTGTCATATAGTGGAACTTCATTAGCACACCTAGCTCTATCATTCCTAGTGGTTTCGTCAAATTAGGTTGGATAGAAAGAATTCAGGACTCAAAGGGTTAAACTAAATACCGAAATGTATGAACAAAATTCAAATACATAATTTTTCGTATTTGATCTTAATAGCATGTTTATATTGTGAATAGAGATATTTATAAACATCTGATGAAAAGAAATTTTACAGAGAAGTTATTTTATTTCCTATATCTGCTTGTAATTAATAAAGTATTTCGTCCAATATTTTTGCACATTTTTCTTTCGAAGGCTTTCTTCAGTTTTTTTTCTAATTACAACGATGCATCAAATACTTTTTCACGAAATGTTGTCTTTCAGTGCATGTCACATATTTTCAATTGATGAATATTTAAGATAAGATTTCTGATTAGATCTGAAAGCTTCTACATAGTAATACATTCCTATTAAGTTTAAAAAAAACCTTAGTCACTTTGTCACGATTGACTAAGTTATGAAAATATTTGTTGCAGGAGAGGTTTCGTCTAAATTCAATCATAGTGACTAATATGATTCGATTATATTTATTATATAAAGTAACATATGTAATGAAAAAAGAAAGATTTTTATGGCATTGTATCCGATCTAGAATTGAGTATTATATTATGAATATGGTGTATGTTCCCCAAATAACTGAGAATTATTTGTTATTTTCCAATAAAATTATCAAGATTTTTTGAAATTTTTTTCTAAACCCCCGCTTATGTGTTTCACACAAAACGATAAAATCTTTTTGTTGCCTTCAAAATGTTTTGATCATAATATCGATTGAATGCAATCACAAAAAAAAACAGATATCCTAATAGAGTATTGGAAAAAATGTTATTTCCTTTGATATAATCAATGCTAGCTAACATTCGATTTTTTTTTCTGAATATTGAATATTTCAAGGAGAACGCAACTGTTCTGACTGAAACTTCTAAGATATACTCTTATTTAATAAAATTCTAGATTAAAGAATTCTTTCTTCAGACTTTTCTATCCTATAGTAAAAACTCAACAAAACTATCATAACTACAGATGTGAAAGAAGAAGTTTTTTTTTCCCCAATTCTAGTAGCTACTTTTCTAGTACTCCCGAGATGCCAATGATTTTAGTTGTTTCAGCTCTGGTACTAGCCTAGAGTAAACTATTCGAGAGTTTTGTTTGTATCACATCCAAAATAATTCCTTCAATACTTGTCTTTTGATTTATTTAGATGATAATTAGGCACTTTTTTCGATTATCTCTCTTGAATTATGTTCAATTAATTGATATAATTTATAAAATAAATCACTTAAAGTCTAAAGAACAGAGTTCACTGTAAAATCAAATTATACATTCTGACAATCAGAAAATCATATTTATCATGAAAACATAATTATCTAAATTTTAATAACCTCATCAAACTTTATTAACTATAAAACTATTCTGATTTATTCATTTACAGTAAATGCTACGAAGTTTAAAAATTATTTGTTGTAATAGAAAAAATCTCAGGCATTATAATAGCTATTTTCTATATTTAGGATTGGGATGATTGGGTAAATTCCATATATGAAAAACATCAATGGAAATCAACTAAACGATCATCTCCACTTATATGGCGTGAATTACTTGAACGTGGTGGTCGTAGTACATTAGTTGGTGGTCTTGATGATTTTCAAGAATATGCTCAATCTTATTATGGTACAATACTTGATAATTTTATGACAAATTCATCAGCACTTTTTCGTTTAATTGCTGAAGAAAATATTCAACAATTTACAAAAGATATTGAATCTAAAAAACAATATATTGAACAAACAATAAATCCATATTATGTTTGTATTGTTGGGGCACATCATCCATGTGCATATGAATTATTTCCAGAATTATTTTCAACAAAATTATTTCCTAATCGTGATATATGTCTTCGATTAACAACAAATAATTCATTAAATTTATCATATTTACAAGCTATGGCTATGGAAATTGAAGATCTTGCATGTAAACAATTTCATAATATTGATATATCATTACAAGATAATGAAAAATTTTATGAAAATATGGATTTTATTATAATAATTGATGATTATTTTTTTGAAGAAAAACAAAAATATTTTAATTTATTAGTTACTGAAAAAACAAAATTAAATAAAATTTATGATGAAGCAAATTTATTTGATGATGAACGACCACCATTTATACCAGAAAAAATGAAATATGATTTTAAAAAAGCATTTAATTATTATAAAACACTTGCTAATTCTATTCAATCAAATATTAAATCAACATGTCAAATTCTTATTGCTTGTTCAGATTCAACTATGATTGCAACACAAGCTTTTATAAAAACAATAAAAAATATTTCAACAAATAATATTCTTGGTCTTGCAAGAACAATTGAAAATCAAGCTAAAGCAAAAATTGGAAAAAAACTTAATGTTGATCTTAAACGTAAAGTTGTTTTTTTTTTTTATTATTTTGTTTAACTATGAACAGAATCAAGATTGACATTGAAGTCAAGAGCATTAGGTTTATGTTTAGTATAAGCTGAAATTTCTAGTCAATTTATATAAGGTTCCTTGTTTACTTGGTACTGGTCAATATGCCTATTATATGGTTAAGTGGTTAGATTGCTCGGTGCATATTCACAAGGTACTATATCGAGCCTAAGCATTGTCGGTTACGAAATGATCTTAGAAAAGTCATGAGTGACTGATTGCCTCGAGTGATGCATTTGATAGGCATATTCAGTATGTTGTAATTTGTTTGTATGAGGCGCTCAAGCTATTGAGTAAGACTGACTTTCTGCCCAAAGTTGCAGCTAGTGAAAGTTGTAAAGATGATATTGAATTTATGAAAGTGTTTCAGCGTAATTGACATGATGGAATAAATACTGATCTAGTTTTTTTCACATAATAAGTCTTAATTGTAAAATACTTTTTATATACTCGATAAATCATTTTTAATCAATTTGTCTAAAATCAATTGTCAGAAATTCTAATTGAATTTATCTATGATTTAGGTGTCGTTGATCTACATATTCTTGGAGATATTAATGGTGAATATATTATTGATACAAGTCATTGTCAAACAGTTGATTATGAAGGTGCTATATGGGCACAATCATTTTTAAGAAATTCAATAGATATGTTAGCTGATTCGAAATGGATTAAAGAAGTACTTGAAAAAGAAGTTGAAAATCGAGGTAAATTATTTCAATAATAAAAATATTTATATATAATATAAATTATATATTTTTCTTCTAGATTTTGAACTTTATACTTGTGTTGAACATAATAGAATACTTGTTCATACTCAAGCATCAGCTATTTTATCATTCGTTCAAGGTATAAATTTATATTATTGATAACTATCAATTAATAAAATCTTGTTTTCTTTATTAGATTGGATCAATGGTACCAATGATGATCATTCATATTCATGTGTTATGTCTTGTTCAAGTTCGATTCTGGGTTTAACAGAAACAAATGATGAAGAACAAATAAATGGAAGTATTATTTGTTCTGTACCTGTAATGATTAAAGGTCCAGATGAAATAGTGCCTATTGATTTAAATCTATCAAGTGATAATCGTATAACACTCATTCGAATCATCAAGGTAAGCGCCCCTTTTTTTTCTTTTTCTTTTTCTTTTTCTTTAAATAAATATCAATAAAATTAATCAATCGATTTTTTGTTATCATAGGATATGCAAGTCAAATATAAAATGGATTGATTATCATAAACTATTCTTCGTATTTCATTGCGTTTTTTTTTCTTCTTTTCACATAATTCTTTTTCTTATCTTCTTTTACACCGTATCGAAATAACCTTTCGTTCTTTTTTTTTTCTTCGCTTGATATTATTTTCATCAAACGACTAACATAATGATAAGAAAGAAATGATGATGGAGATGAGTTCGTCTCCTTTTTTTTCCTCAAGAGATATATACATTCTATATAGTACGCAATCGTGCATGAAACATTTTTATACAGAAGATGCAGAAAAAAAACAAATCGACATTGATTTCATCTAGTCCGAAACGGTAAAAAGAAGAGCGTGAGTGAAATTGAATAAGATACATATGCACATCGTTGACATGACTGTACGGTCACCCATCATCACACAACCATTGACCGAACATATAGCACGTACACATCAAAATGATTAATATAGGTGTTCATTTTGTTCAATGATGTATACATCTAGTTTCTTCATATGAAAATGATCATATGAATACATGACACATTAAAAGAAGAAAAAAAAAAAAAACTTCACAATTATGTTTCATCAACAATTTTATCCTCAATCACAGCAACAAACATCATTTCATAATAGTCATGGAACAAATCATTTTTTTATGCCAAATAATTCATCTTATTATCGTTCAGGTCCTATACCAAATCAAAGTAGTCATCATGTAAATTTTAGTCGTATTTTTGAATATTTTCCTATGCCATCTCGTGGTTTTACATCAATGGCAACAGGTCCATATTTTATTAATGATTTAACAAATCAACAACAATGGAATTCAAATATGACAAGAAATCAACAACAAAATCATCGTATACCAGCATATTATTTTCAAGATAAATCAACATATTATTATATGTCTGAACCAATGATTACTAATAATAATCGTATTACTGTAAACTAAATATATATATTTATTATTCTACTAAAAATTATTTTTACTTTTTTTTTGTTTTTGTTTTTGTTTTCTATTAGATTCAATTAACTAAAGTTCATATTGGAATAAATGGCGATCAACAACGTGTATTTGTTGAACAAGAATTTAGTAATCAAAATGAATTAAGAAAATTTGTTAAAAATTTAAAACAAAATTTTGAAAAAACATTTAATAATCGTACATCAGATGTTCATAATAGCAATGAAACTGTCAATGAAAATCAACATACGAACAATAAAAAACCTGGGTAAGATCATTTCCTTTTCTTTTTTTTTGAATTATTAATCAATTAATTGTTTTGTTATTTTAGTGTTGTTGTTATTGAAGAACCAGATGAAGAACCAAAAGTTTATGAACAAAAAGTTTATAATGAAAATATTAATTTAAAACAAAAAAGCAAAGAAGTAAATTATCCATTAGTTAATACATCACAATTGAATGATCATGAACAAAATCAACGATCAACACCTATATCATCATGTTCAACTGTTTGTTTAAATCGACGTCGAAAAAATAAAATGAAATATTATCAACAAAATTTAGATAATGATATTAATAAAAATGATAAAAAACAAAATCAAAAATCATCTAATTATTATCATCATTATGATTTACCACCAAGATTTCATCAACAGTTTTTTAATAAAGAAAATATTTTTCGAATGACTAATGATTTTGATATGCCACAAAATTTTAATATTCATTGGGTATTCAATTTTAAGATTTCTTTTCATTTATTTATTTATGGAAAAATTTTTTTTTTTTTGGTTCTTCTAGAGATTCAATAGATTTCAACATTCATCACATAATCAACCATATTCATATGTTCTACCTATGAATGAAAATCTTCCTCCACCAACTCCATCAGTTTTTCATCATAAAAAAGATCAATATTATCATCCATCAACACCACCTCCTTTTGTTCAACCAAATGATCAATATCGATCTCAACCATCTTCTCGACGTCGTCGTGGAAAAAAACATCGTCGAAATCAACCAAAAACAATAACTGAAAATATTGTTTTTACAAATAATATACAAGAACAAACACGTGTTCATCGTTCACGATCTGATTGTCGACCAAAAATTTCATTTCAAAATCAAATTCGAACACATCAATATCTTGATTATAGACTAAATCCAAATCAACGACAATTTATACCATTTATGCCACCTCGAGCACCTATATATTATCCTCAAAGACGATTATTTAGAAATACACAAGTACATTATCGTTTTGTTAATTCATATCGTCCGAATACGATTTGTTTTCAATGTTAATGATAATTTATTCTCCGACAATTTGTTTCAATACAGAAAATTCCCATATTTGTGTCGCCTATTGAACATGGCCATGTATGTTGTTGATGAAATAAGCCATGTTTACGATCTGGTAAAGGACTTGCAATACCAGATAAACTTGAATCTTGACGACTCCAATCATGACCTAGATTATAATAAAAATAAATTAACAAAAAGATATATAAATTTTTTTTTTTCTTGCATGTATCGCTTGAGGCTGTTCCATTGACAAAAGTGCCATGCCACCAATATTGAAATCTATAGAAAAATTTAAAAAAAAAAAAAACAATCTATTAGCATCGAAATGTTTCATTCATTTTCATCTTAATTTAGTATACCATCATATACTTCGAAAAGATCATTATTTGACTTTTTATAAGGGAATCTCTTTAGCTGTCTACTTTCAAATTCAATTATTATTTTTTGTTTGACAATAGATATTACATAATACTTTAATAAAAAAAAAATTTAAAAAGGATTTCTGTTCGTAACGGACTATTGATAATCTCTATTCGAACTCATATTATGTTGATTTCATAAAATAATTTCGTAAGTTTTGTTCTTTTGATATATTTTACGAAAGTTAGTCTCTTGGAGTTCTCTATATGCACGAAGTTTCAGGTGAAAAATTGAAAATATGAGTCTTCCGAAAATTTCCGTGTCTCTAAAAATAGACATATTAAAAATTCGATAGCTAACGACGAAAGGTCCCTTTCAATGATATTTTGTTCATATTTCACTGATTTTTTTCATGGAGTACAAGGTATATATACGAAAAGAATTCTACAATGAAATTTCAATCCAAAAATTTATTCATATGTAGTTCTTATACTTGTCATGATGTTGTGTCTTTAACAAAAAAATTCATTCTTTGTAGACATCCCCAAAAACGAAACAAGTTTCTTCCACTGAAACATTTAGAGTGTTCCAATGATCACAAGAACTACATATGACGAAAATTTCGGATTGAAATTCTGTTGTTCAGTTTTATTATGTATATATATATATATATAAAGGGTGTCCCAGAAGTTCTGAAACGATTTTAAGAATTCACCGTTCTCGCATTCTACAAAAGCAAATTCGCTGAAACTTTGGTAGATTGTTGTACATATGTGGTACTACATAACTGCAAAGTTTCAGATCTATAGCTTGTACTATGGGTGAGAGCCTAGAACAACACTGACATGTACTATTTTTTAAATTNGGCTACATCTTGCCCCCCTCCCTCTTCGGTACTTGGTTTCCCAGGTCCCCGCCCCCCCCGCCCTCTTCTACCCCTTCCGCCCTCCCCTCCCACCACCCCCCCCCCCCCCCCCGCACTACTTCAGTATCCTCTTGCCTCCACCTCCGCACCACCCTCAGGTTAAGCCTTGTCGGTGTCAGAAGTAAACTAAATTAAACGTGAACCAAACTCAAGTACATAGAGTGCTTGGTTACCTACTTTCGTCGTAATATCAAAAGCATTGTCACCATTTGTCTCTTTTCATCGAAATAGTGTCTGTAAAACTCAATCATTATTTTATCTCTTTTTCTTTCTCTCATTATCTTGATAATTTACTCAAAACTGAATGGCATTAGCTTTGTGCTTTGATACTTCCGCATAATTGAAATGCACAAAATTCGAGTTGAACTAGGCACTTTCAACATTTAGAAAATGATAAACTGCATATGCAAGATTATTGTTCAACGTATATATACAATACACTCGCTATTATTGTCTCTGTTCCCAAAGTTTCAGCTACAATTGATGAGAAATGAATGTGATCATTCTAACTGCATTTTGTATACTTGAGTATCTTTCGTTGAACATTTCATTGCCGTGTTTGTTTGAACGATTTTTTTTAAAGATATTGACATATGGCTTCAATCACTGACATAGATGAAATTATCAGAAGTAATTGTAAGTTTCACAGTAGAATATGAAGGCAAATAAGGAAACTCATAGACATGGCATACTTCTAAAGATGACAAAGTTTATATTCATTACAGGCATATTCAACATGTTTTTAAATTGAACACATCAAGAGAAAGATCTTTAGCTACTTTCCTATCATATTTATTCAATATACTGATGCCATAAGAAAAAATATTTATTTTCTGGTACTCAAACTCAACCCAGACAACGCAAAATTTGTTCTCTAGACTGAAAGGATAGGATCTAGAAACGGAAATGCACTTGTGTCTGTCTATTCGTCTGTCTGTAACACAGTGGCAGAAATAAATATTGTGTAGTATTAACAAACTGGTTTTGCCAAAGGTCTCCCCATTACATGCCAACCCATCTTTTGCATTTTCTAGTACTTTCCTTAAAGCACACTTAAGCCTAGCTTTGTTTATAAACATAGCTCCATGCCATCAGTCTAGGGTCAAATGAATCAATTCTGGATGCATGTTATTTGTATATTCTGATAATGTAAAGAACAAACAATCATAATTCACGAATACTAGAACACTATTAATTGATATTAATTTTGAAATGTATGTGGACAAGCATCAATTCAATGACTTTTTTTACAAAATAATATCCACAACTGAATACCCGCCCATGGGCCACATAAGTGCCTATGCATTGCAATATATCACAACATGTTACATTCACACAATTATTAATTTAAGTTTCTAGAGCGGACTTCTGCTAATTGAAATGAAATTATAATAAAGCCTTTTTATCAGAAAATTCAATCATGCTGAGTGCTCGTTACTGCATTTTCGTAGAACTGTTCTAGGCGTAATAGTGCTATGGTAACTATCACTATTTTCAAGACTTTTACATTTCTTTCCCAGCTTGAAAACTGTTTTCGAATTCGACCCCTGCTCAGAAGGTAGAGGAATGTGGATGATCTCTTTGTCTATAGTCACACACTCATACTCAGCGAGAACTGCAATAAATGACAACATCATTGCCTAACGAGCCGTTCTAGAAACGCTTTATTTTCTTTTTTTCTCTGACAATGATGACCACCATTGTCCAATCAAGAATCTCTTGGACTCAAAAACACATCAACTGTTTGTTATATTCCACTGGGTTGTAGACAAAATCTTCAATTTTTAACCATAGTTCGTTTATCCATCTTCTCCTTCGAGACTTGTTATTCTTCGAAATGATGATTGAACACTGGATTTTGTCTCTCTTTTTTTCATTCATTTTCACTGTCGAATGATTGATGATCATTCAAACATCTGCAATTGGAAATCTTTTGAATATGGATTGATGTGGGTATGGATGGGGTGTGTGGTATGGGTGAATAGAAGACAACATTCATACACGTAGGCGCGCTCACACCCACACCGTATATAAGTATTAACATTACAGGAATGTATTGGTGTTCAGTTAAGAAGAGAAAATAAATATAATGTGATCAAAGAAGATTACACGTTGTCGCAGTAACTGAATAACTATTGATAATTTTTAAATTTTCTTTGCCTGCATTGGCCAATTGAACACCTTTCAATTGTTCTTGTTCATATTCGAGCATTTTTTGACGGATATCATCCAGATCACTGTCAGTCTGTTGTTGCTCGACTGTTGTCAAAGGTAAATCAGTACATTCAATGTTGCTATCATTATGACGATCTTCTATATTCGAATCATGATCAAACGGTTTCTTATCAGTAAACTCTTGGTTGTTCGAAGATTTTGCCATAAATTCCGTATCCCTATTTGTAACATCATCCATTATTTCTGGATAATATCGTTCATGAAGATTTTTAACATAACAAAAAACACTATAGCGACGTGTATTTCTTGCGTTTCTAGCATCATCATCGTCATCCGTTTGATTACTATCATTGCTGTCAGTAGTAGCATCATCATCGTTCAAAGTCATATCAGCACATTTCTCGATATGTTGTATGAGTTTGATTGTTGCTGATTGAACTTCTCGTCGTTCATTTCTTCAAAGACAATCAAAATATTCATATAGAATTAAGTTAAATGAAGTTTTTCTTAATGATACACTCGTAAGAATTTCTAAATAAAATCATCCTTTATGAAAATATTTGTGAAAATACATACATATCTAGTGATTTTGTTTAATGTATGAATATTGATCAATGGAAAGACCTTATTTCTGATATAAAACACTTTGAATTCTAATCAAGGGGGAAACAGCAATCTGCGATTTTGTGATTTTCAAATGATTCAATTTTGATTTTCAGATGATTTAAATCAGTTGCAAGAGAAGAGAAGAAACAAGTAAGTGAGTGTAAGTTTGTATCCGAAAATTGTCTCCCCCTCCCTCCTTACTGACAGTAGTGGTTTTCAATACCCTGCGGGAAGTATGAAAAACCAAAGATGAGTAGAGATCTTTTTTATGGTATATCAGCTTTATTTTACCTGTATTTGTCAATTGTGACCGATTCGTTATTTATCTGTAGTCAAAATTCTATCGCACATGACTGTCCTTCTAGTTTCTGTTCAATAGAAATGGTCAAACTAAGTCAAAAAACTAGCCGAAAAATATGATTTAATTGCACAATTGGACCTCCATCTTCTCTATCGAAAACGAAAAATAGAAAGTAAAGTCGCTGCTCAAGTATTCTAGAACATGCCAAAATGACCGGAATTCTAATGATTGAAGCTGCACATTCATTAAATAAAGTAGCCGACAGCAAGATCAATTATCAATATCTTTTCAGTGTGCTTTCAGAGGAACGACAAGTGCCATTGTGAGATAGTGTCGTTCAGTGAATAGGAACGAGCATAGACACGAAATGAGAGAAATAACCAAAAAGTAGATCGAATATCTTGACACTGAGAGGCAACGTATGAGTACGAGCATGAAATCAAAACCAAGAATAACTAACGAAAAATACAATGAGACAGAAAATGATCAGTAGACGCATAGTGGCAATTGAAAAAGATACAAGAGGGTCTAGAAAAATTGAAAATGCAGAAAATATTGATATGAAATAGATTGATAGGCGCATTTGATTTCAGCTATTTTTAATTTGTAGAAGATTTTCTGCATCTGTAAAACCTATTCTATTGTTCTGAGAGCCATTATATGTGAGTTTCACATTCTAAACCAAATAGGGACTGCGTTGACACTCTTCATGTTATTTTGACTTCATCTAGCAGCTTTAAATCTAAAATTTTATTTCTTTATCAAAATAAAAATTAATTCCTGCACAGATTTCAAGACAAAAAAAAAATCCACGTCCGGCAATGAAACAGAAAGAGAAATTAAGTTGAGGTCTACGGAAGAGTGATCAATCTGCTATCGAAACCTAGTCTGTAGATCACTAGAGTAGTTATCATAGCACAGAGATAGACGATGGATTATGAGCGAAGTCAATGGTATATCCAATAGGACGGAACAAGAACTTGTTTACTATTTGAAATCTTAATTTTCAAGATAATTCACAGGTCATACATTTTAACAGATCTAATGATTTTTCTTTTTTATTCCTATAATGAATTGTGGTACAAAAGTCAAAAAATAAAAAAACATAAGTCGCTTAACTAAATATACATCAAATCAAGTCATATTTTGACTCAACATGCCTGTCTCTGTCAAAGACTATCGTAAGCTTTTCTACATGATATCCCTATAAACTTGAACAAATTTTGTACAAAATCTTTTTTCGTTCAGAATATTCATTTGATACTGGAAAATCGAATCAATGGGTTAGATGAATTTTACAGTTCATAGTGCTTAGCAGTATGCGTTTTTATAAAGACATAGTATTGAGCGATACGTGATCTTACTAAACATAATTCTAGGACTCTAGTTGAATCAATGTGTTTGTGATCGCTATTTTCTAATAAAAATGGATACCGCTAAGTACTATGAAGTGTGCCTACCATTGATGAGTGATGAATTATGCTTAACTTGGATTCGAACCAAAATTCTAGTAATATTTCAGCTCGGTAAGAAAAGTCTCTGGATTTTTGATTCAGAACAAAAAAAATTTGGGCTCTACAATTTCAAGCTACTGCTGAAAATATTTGATTCAACAAGTTTCTTCAGATTTCGTTGATGGACATAAGATTTTCTATTGACATACGTCTAATATTTACCTGCTAGGTAACGCTTGAATTTTTTCTTGTATATTCGGATCATTTGGATCGGCAATCATTAATGTCAATAAACGTCGATCATTCATAGCTAAAACAATAAAATCATCGTTGATTTTCATCGATGAAACAAAATCATAGAGGAATAATTTAGCCATTTGTCGACCATCATCAATACGATACATGTATAAAATACGAGGTTTGATTAGAATAAAAATATACATGACTGATTTGTGTAAACATATCTGTTCACATTCATTTTCTAATTCAATCGATTTGTAGGATACTTGTGAATGAATATTATGTAAATTGATTTGATTTTGTTCTTTATTCACTGTTGCTAAACAATTCTGTTTCATACAAAATAGATCGACTGGATCCAATGGAATTACATTGACTGATCCATTTTTCTTGGATTTATCCAATTTGATTTGACATAATACAAGAGATCTATTATCAAAATGTAACAGAATCAAATCTTGATTTTGTTCAGTGGAAATAGATTTCACATATGTTGATGAGAAATATTGTTTTTCATTAATATCGATATAAATTAATAAATGTCTATCGAACCAGAGAACTATTGTTTGTAAACTATCCGCAAATACAACAAGATGTTCTCTTGAATCCAATGTAACAATTGTGCTGAGCATCATTGAACATGACATTTTCAATTGTACATCGTTTGTCCGTTTGAATTCGATGATTTGATCAGAATTTGACTGTTGAACAATCGAACATAATGAACCATTATTAGTCAAGATGAGAAAATCGCTATTCCTTATTGAATGAACTCGAATCGATGAGTCAAATTGATCACAGAAAATCGGTTCATGATGAAGTGATTGACATAAATAAATCTCTATTCGACGATTATTTATAATAGCAAGTACAAAAATCATATTTGAATTGAATTTATTCGATGTAATAAAGAAATCATCGACAATTAAAGAATCCGAAAAAATACGTGTTGATTCAATCGATGTTGAATGTTGATATGACCATGTCGTTAGTTCTCTAAATTTCATAAACAAATTTTCTTTCGCATATCAACCAGCAAACAAAAGCTCTTCTCAGATCTACCTAAGGCTCTTATGAAATAAAAACAGGTAAGAATGTGATGTAAGGCTGTGGATGCATCAACATACACACCATCAATTAATTACAGTATTATCAATTTTGAGAACGGTACTTTTTTTTTGGTTTGACAGCGTTTTTAGAAAATATGATTACATTTTATCGATAGGCATACTGCATTTAGAGCATCTATTTTCAATTTTGCATATTCTTTTCAATTCGAAGAATAAGAACTCAATTACCGTCTTTGACTATCAAGTGTTACTGCAATGGTATCGTAAAGTTTCATAGTTTCGATTATATTATTTGTACGTGGAAATGGTGGCATGATCTCATACGCCTCACGTATTTGTGCAGTTTGATACATATGAATGACTCCGTTATCCATCGAACACAAGAAAAGCGGTTCTAAAAATTGATACACGATATATATTTCGCATTCAATATTTTACTACTTAATATAATGAATACGAACTTGATGAAACAATTGGTTTGATTCTAGTTACAGACGATGAACTTATATCGATGGAAGCATACAATTTATATGTATGTAAATAATGACATTTCTCATTTCTGATGTCTTGAGTATTTTCACAAGTCCAAACGTAAATATCGATGATACCTCCACGAGCTGTATATACAGTATTTCGATTGTTTTCATGTATTGAAACAATATCAAAATGACCGTTGATATGTGCATAGGATAAATTATTTTCTTCACATTCATGAATAACATACAAAGAATTTGTTGTCATAGCCACAAATAGTAAAGAATTGATTGTGTTCGAATTGTTACTTATTTTTCCTTTGTCAGATAATATAATACGCTCGATTGGTCTCGGTTCAATGGGTACATCAAAATTGACCGATGTTTTAATAATATCATTATCAGATAGAATTTCTTTACCTTCATAAATTGTTTTTAAATCGATATGAACAAAATCAATCGGTATCGTTTCATCAAACGTATAAATCAGAGTTCGTCCACTAACAACGATCAAATTGAAATGTTGTCCTATATGAATCGAACAACGATGAACAAAAGATGTTTGTGTGAAATTAATAATCGAATAAAAATGAATAAATCCATCTTGACAAACAATTGCAAGCATTAAATATATACTAATACAAAGAATATTTTTTATTTCGGATGAAATCGAATCAATTCGACTAAATAGACGATTATGTATGAGATCCCAACATTCAATCGAATTATTATTCATTTCTTTTATAATACAAAGACCATGTTTATAATCAAGAATTTCTACTGTTTCATAACCAACATTCGAAATTTGTTCAAATTTGATTTCATCATATGAAGATAAGAAATAAATATGATGAAATGAATTAACAAGAAAATAATATTGTTGATCATTTTCATCGAATTGATACATATTTGTTAATGTCATTGCATTTAAATAGGATTCATTTAATTTAGGTAATTTAACATCGAATGATGTATGTCCGGATGTCATATCAATGACAACAATTCGATCCGATAGAGATATAGCAGCCATTTGATCAAGTGTTAAATCAAGATCTATTACACGTGTTGTATGTTTATTCATCGAATAAACTAAACCACTGCCCGGTGGTCGCATTTGACAATAAGGTACAATTAGAGAACAATGCTGAATACTTTCTTCATCGAATTGTTTGATTAAATGAGTTATATTTGATTTAATATTGAATAAACTAAGTAGACGTGATGAAAATTCAAATACATAATTGTTCGGATATTCTTGTAGTAGATGACCAATCATCATATAAATCATAAATAATATATCAATTTCGTTTTTCATATCGATAAGTTCATTTGATAGTTTGTTTTTCGGAATATCTTTGAAATATTGCATTAAAGTAGTGATATCATTATAATCTGAACATTGAATTTTGGCATCTATATACAAACACAAGATTGAATTCGTCTTTCTCTCAAACGAAATTATTCTGCATATTAGTTTCAAATTGAACATTGTCTGTGTCGATTCGATGATCAAGATTAACAAAAGAAAATTTTATCGAACGATCTTTTATAGAAATGTTATTTCTTTTGTTTTCTTAAACTATTCACAGTCTCTTTAGACAAAAATTTGATCGGGAAAAATCAAAATTAATTTTTCTTGTTTCAGTAGTTTATCTATGTAAGAAATATGAATAATTTTACTTCTACGATATTCTGTTACTTTCTCGCATAAATTTTAATCAAAATCGTCTTACGCATGAATGAATAATTGAAAAAGACTTCTTTGACCACAATCGGTATGGCTAAATTCGGTGATAATTTGCACAAGAATTGTGGTAATTCGTTCAATTTTCGTTTATTGTATTGAATTTTACCATTGACGTCAACAAATTCAATCGGTTGTGAAGTTGTCAATCGATTAGCTGGAATTTCTCCATTTGATTCTATCAAATGATATTTATCGATCAATTTCGGATTGTCAATTTTGAATGGTTTATTTTTTTCTTTCCAAGTTTCATTGTATAAATCAATCATATTACCGAAAATGATCTCTTTCTCTGTTTCGTCTAATTGAGAAAGATATTCTTTATTGACAACTTCGATAAAACGACGATGATACCTAAACATTTTCAATATAATAATTAGGATTGGCAAGCTGATCTTGTTTTTTTTTCAAAATGTTCAAAGAATTAATTAAAATATATCATATCAATTTGGCGTACAAAAATCGTCGGATTCATTTTCACTGTTTCTTGTTGTCTGAAAACTCATAAAATAGATTTCGATATATCTATCGCAGTCTGCAGAAGAAGAGAAAGTCTAAGTTTCTGACTAGTGGCGTAGCCAGGATTTGGAGTATATCTGAACTCAGTCCTTTTCTCGTAGTCCATGACGGCACTTATACTCGTTGTTTTTGTAGTTTATGTCGGGGTCCAGCATTCTTCCCTAAGTCCTTCTTGGCTACAGGGCTATTTCTGGCTCTAAACTCCAATGCATATTTCCAATATTGGTTCAAAAAGCTTTCAGAACAATTCCTACGGAATTAAACTGTGAAACATGATGGAACCTCTTTAACTCTTTTGGAGAAACCTCTTATTTCGATCTCAGTCTATTGGAGACTAAGAACTTAATGTTGAAACTGCTTACAACTGTCATAGGCCGTGACAAACATTTCGACACGTCTGCCACAGTCTGTGACGCTTCAGTAGGCTTTTTCGACATGCATGTCACGGTCTGAGAAGGTGGGAAGGGGTTCAAACTTTTCGGTCTACACTTTCAACACTCATTTTCAATCGTGTGTCACAAATAGTGATGAAGCCCTTATTGAAAAAGATTACTATATCATGAGGGGCTTGATTATGTTTACAAGAATTTCATTCCAGTAGAAAGCCGATAGCTGAACCCAATCATTCAACACAAATTCTCGTAGATGCACACAAAATAGTCAGCATTCGACTACTGACGAAGAACCTCGAACATATTACGTTGCTTGATTGAGTAATTTGATTCTCCATAAAAAAATCACTTATGGGGTCATGCGTAATCTCTTGAGCATGAGCAAGGTCTACATTCGTTCAGGACCGAAATTCTTAGATTCACTGTAATGCGCTACTAGAATAAACTGCTGTTAGACACTATGATCTATTCAGTCAGCTGAAAAAACCTAAGATAAATGATGCCAACTTGAATCTGTCGATGGCGATCAGTTGATAATTGGATGGCCATCATTATCTCGATCAAGAGGACCGTACTATTCGTGGACTACTGGGTTCATGGAATTTTCAATATAGAAAAGAACGTGATGATGAAGTTACTGATGGGCTACCTCTGTATGATATTGCGCTAGTTCACAAGTTCAACAGACTTCTTCTAGCTAAATCATCCAACCTTTTGTCCACATATTCAACCTATTAATTACTATATCTCTCATGTCTGAAAAAAATCATTTTCGATATGAGTTTTGCCTCTGATGAGAAAGTAATAAAAGGGATGGCGGTTGTTTCTTGAGTAATCTTGACTAGGAATTTTTTCTTCAGTGGACATACAGAGTTTACATAATCATCCATGGCTTATGATGATTGATACAAATTGATACATTGAATCAGTAAAGTATTTGTTGCCCTAAGGTCTCACAATAAATGAGTCATATGAGCTTTTTGGATAACCTATTAGTTAACAATCATTTGTAGATCCAAGAACTGTTGATAGATTTCAAACTACAATTTTTTATTTAGACAGATTTATGTCAATATAGTATCACTTGTCTAGTTGTTGATAAACATAGCAAAGTCGACTACGTTGAAACAAAACAAGCATTACTAAACATGAAATTTAGAATTTGGGAATATAAACTCCAGTTTGTATGGATGATAAGCTATTTTACTACTGAAATATGATATTTATCATACAAGTGATATTGATGTTTGAAGAAAAGAAATTTCTTCTAAAACTTTCATTTCTATTTTCATCTAGAACTATAACATATAAGTCACAGGCGCTTCAGCATGTGTTATTAATCCTAAGCCAATTCTCTATTTCCAGAAAGAGTTGAGTTCTTTTTCTGATCGTTATGAAAATAGATTATATATTGTATAAAAGTGCTTTCTATTATGTGAATATTTTATCCTTTCAGTAATCTTACCAGTAGATAACCGATGAATCATCGACTTCTTTTTCCGTTAGATATTCATCTAGATCATTTCTTATTCTTGTCCATAGAATGCCTGGTAAACGTTTTATTGGTGGAATATAATGTTCAAAAATACTTTTGAGAACATCATCGTCGAGTGAGAGTACATCTTCTAATTCATTTTGACTAATACCACTACGACAAGCGGTCATATAACAAAGTGCACGACGAAACAAAACACTATTATGTTTAGTTTGTAGATGATTGAATAGATATCGAATGCAATCATCGACAGTGCGACATGTTTTCAATTGATCATTAATCATATCGTATGAATGCCATGTACATAAAATATCGAACATCAGTTTCATTAATAGAGGAACTATCTCCGTTCGTTCTTCCATCCATTGACAAACAAATGTACGTTGCTCAAGACTTAATGAACGTTGTTTTAATTGAAGCCAATCATTGTAAATAATTTCTACTGTTGATGATTCAAATGGTGGAACTAAAATAAGTAAATGTTGTGTTTGTTCAATCGTCGATCGATAATAACCGATCAGCGATTTTAAAGACGAAAGTATTCCACCATGTATAGGTAAAGTGGAAACAATACATTTGATATTTTTGGGAAAAAATTTTGGTAACCATTGACATTCATATGCATCCGTTTCGAGTTGATCAATTGAATCGATTACAATTAGAAGATATTCATTTTCGGGTATTTTCAAAAATAAATTTGTTTCTAATTGATATCGTAATTGAAGAATATCAGAATAAATATCCATGGATAAATTGTACAATTGACATATTTGTTGAGATATAGACAAAAGTGTTTTGTAGATTGTGGATGATTGAGGTGTTGTTCTACAAAATAAATTCACTTGAAAATATTCATTCGACCTAAGTTCAATATACCCGAGAAAACGTAAAATCACTGAGACAGATCGATCAGACCACCATTTGAATGTCTAGTCATAAGAAACCAATCACAAATAGATTTTGTTCACCATTGAATTTAAAATTACAAAGGATCAATATTATTCTGGCTCAGGTAATTAAAAAAATCATTGTTCTATACTACTGATAATTTCATTTGAAATTTTACAAAAGTTTTGATCTCAAGCAATAAATTATAGCAGAATGCGAACCAAAGACCAATACAAAAAACTAATCATGATTATATCTTTTTTCATCTCGTAAAGCAAGCTGAACTTTTCTTTATTGCTTCTACATCAAATATGAAGTTTAATAACTCCATTGGTAGTTTCACAAGTAACGCGTTCATCGGAGACCGACTCACTTAGCCCTAGACTGAATATCAAGAAATGTCAAAATTCCTAAACTAAAGAGCAAACTTGTAAAGTCAGTAAGAATCTAATACTTAAATTTATCTACACTCTCGAGATTGAGATTGAAAGATTCTAAAAAAGACGCAAAAATAGGTTGACAAATTAGGCATTTAAAAAGACTTTACATAATCAGAGAGTGTGGGTGTCCATGTGCGTGTGAGCCTTCTCTTCATTCAAACCGACATCCGCACCCAATGTATTGTGTTGCGATTGGTGTCAAATCGAGTTTTCGAGGGTGATTAATTTTTTGTATGAATCTTTCTGTTTGATTTCACGACCTAGAACTTTCAGATTTTCAATGGATCTCTGGGTTTTGAAACTCTAAAATCCAACAACTTCGTTTTTCTCTCGTTATCTGATCCTTTATTTGTTATCATATTCCCGCGATATCTTGCTTCCGTTACCGAATGAGAGATCATAATCAATAAAAAATAGGTATCTTCATGTGCAATTCAAATGGCTTCATCGCATTACAAGCCTTCGTTTCATAGAAATTTCTTTGAAAATTTTTCATATTTCGTTTCAAATCGAACTGAGAAATCTAAACTATACGTACTTCAATTGAAATTTTAGCCAATAGACTCGTTTTTCCACAGCCCGAATCTCCGTATGCAATACAAAAACGATTTTCATTCGCATTCATCACATATTCTTTAAACTAGAATAGAAAGAAACAGAAAACAAAGTTGAATACATTGATCAATCAATGTTTACTTGATTAAGTATATCTATACGACCGTGAAATTTGTTTACATATGTTCTACATTGAATTGTATGTTCTAATATTTCATGTTGTAATGGATCCGAATCGAATAAAATTCGAGATTTAACACATTGATCAATTTGTAGTTTAACTGCATGATAAAAATCGTCATTAAATTGAGCAATGTATGTTGCATGATCGTGTCGATTTATTCCATTCGGTGTCCAATGTACTTTATAGGAGAATACATTTGATGATTGTAATTTACTTGGTATTCGAGAATATTTCAAATTTTGAAGTAAATTTTCAGCTTCACTATCGATTATTAATTCACCTGTTTTTGAATGATACATATCGATGTATTTTGATATTTTACTATCGAATAAATGTTCGCGAATATCTTCGATTTCACGTAAAAAACATAATGTACGTTGATTGGCATCCGGTGTCGTTAGAATACCTTTGACAATTTCTTTCTCGGTGACTAGAATTAACAATGAACAGAAGAGCAATATTTGACTAGAATTCAATTTTTGCATATTTACTTGATATAAAAAAATCATCGTATTCTTCTTGTTCAATTTGTTTTTGTTCAAAACATTTTTTCGCTGCTTGACGAAGACAATTTCGTATACGATTATTAATTGTTTTCCATTCTTTTTCGGCTTGTTTCATTTCTTCTGTATTCTAAATTGAGAAATGAAGACACTAGAAGTCAACAATTTCTGTTCGATTTTTTACCGAAGAAACTATCTTTGGTAGAATCGATGATATCGAACGAAGTATGTAGACAGCCGGTATTTGATTCGTATCTAGTTGATACCATTGAGAAAGTAGTTGAGCATCGTCATTATAATTTAAATCTGAACGAATAATGACGAACAATAGATCGAAAAGTGTTGCACGAATGGTTGCCGGTGTCGGTCGAGAACCATAACGATGACTTAGTAAAACCTATATTAACAAATAAATTCAGATTTGCAAAGATGAAATGATTTTAAATAAATTCATCTTAGTTTACAATAAAATTTGTAGCCACCGAATATTTTTTGCACATTTCAATTTCATGAAGACAAGTTTGAACTTCACTATGATTGTTACTCGATTCAGTTTGAATACCCCATCGCATATCTGCATACTACAATACAGAGTCTATAATGAATTTGAACATTTATTATTCGAAATACAAACCTGAAATTCGAGACCATATTTTTCTCGACAATAATCTTTTAGTTTCGGAAAGACAGTGTCGATCAATGAATCTCTTTCAGTAAGTGTATCTAGCAAAACAAAACTGTTTTTTTTTTATTAAATCACAGCACATGTGCATAATTTTTGAACCTGAAAATGTCGAACTGAGAAAGACACGCACGACTTTTGATCGAACATTCGGAATTTCTTGACAACGACCCCGTAAAATATCCATATGATTGATTTGTTTCATGATTTGACAATAAAAGAATCATTTACATGTAATAAAAAAGATTTTTCTCTCGATTGTTTAATGTATTGTTGTTAAAAAATTTTACACACGTACACATACTCATGTTGACATGTCTCTTGTATTCACCCTGGAGAAGCCTCGACTATGATTGAAATCTAAACGAAGAACGTATTGAAGAAGAGCGGTAGTTGTACTAAATAAATCTTAATGAAATTTTTTCAGCAATTTGAACAAATCTTGTTGAAATTGAATTAATCCAAGAATAGTTCATAGAACCATATATCCTTATGAAATAGAAATCAAATTGACGAACGTATACTTCAATTGTGCGATCGATACACGTGTCTAAACGGGGTGCTAAATACAGAAAAGTATGATCTTCGTCAATGATGAACGATTTCAAGAGTCATCATACAATATTGTTTATAAAAACTCGTTACAATGCATCATTCACTATCAATTAACTGAGAGTTAAAACACATGTATACTTGCCTAATGACTCATTAAAATAACATTTGCTATCAGTATATTTCGTGTTGAAAGATAAGAGTTGCGCATTTTCTATTCAAATGTATAGCAGTCTTAAACGAACAGAAGACGTTCATTGAACACGTACAGTTAGACAGACATTCTTTAGCAAGATTGTTCGTTCGTGCGCACATATTGAGCTGTTCAAAATGTTTTCTTTATTTAAAAGTTTATAGCGCAAATTCATATACAACTACCCAGATTTCTCAAGTACGAAAATCTCTTTAGAAATCAACAATGACTTGAAATGATCTCGTGTATCTTTTTATCTATTTGAAAAAATGCGCTAGACACCGAGAGAGAACTCATTTAAACGATAAGAAAGGGTACAGATGGGTGTGTGTGTAGGTATCGCTATTCAATTCATCCATACCTTTCGAAATTCAAGACCAAAGATAGGTTATGTTTGCATCACTGATCGATAGTTTTGAATAAAATTAATGAAAAAAATAGTTTCTTTATTTTGTACATTTCATACTGAATAAGAGAAAAAGAAAAAAATTATATGAATTCTTTTACTCTCTAACATAACAATAGTTCATAAAAGAAACCATTTGTTTGCATTCATTTAAGTTTTGTTTTACTTGATTCACCATAGTTGAATCAGAACGGATAACATATCGAGTTAAATTATCCAACGCTTTTTCAAACTTTTTTTCAGCTTCATCATATTTACCAGCGTCCAGAAGTGCATTTCCCCAATCAATATTGGCCTGTATCACATCAACAGCAAATTGAGGTAATAAATATTTGTCATCGTTGTTACAAACAACACGTATTTTAGAATAGCTATTGGCCCATATTTGATTATATATAACATCTGCACAATAGACATAAATACAATAAAGTTGTGGTAAATCGTGAACTATACGTACAACTTTTTTTCCCAGGGAACCACAAATAATAAGAAATAGTCGTTTATTAGCACACTCATCACGAATATTACTCACACACTGGTATTGAGGGTGTGGGTGTGGATGGGTGCGTAGTGCTAATGTGACTGTAGAGAAGATCAAGACCCATATCCACATCCCACAGCCACACCCCTGCACACATACCGAGCGATGCAATAAGAAAGAAGATTATATCTAAAAAATATTATAAAGTTTATTTTTTATTGATTGCAAAGATAAAATGAACTTTATATTAAGACTACGTTTTTAAACTACCCATTTTTCATTTTTTTAAAATAACTAATTCACATCATCAGCATATCTATAGTTCTCTTTGTTGAGTAAAATAAAATTTTAATGTCTCTCACTTAGTATACTAATATCCATCCTTTTGATATTTCTTGTACGGTATTTTTACAGCCAAGTTTTGTAATATCTTTTCAACTTGTAATTGTTTTTCTCTATAGAATGCATACTCCAGGATCTGGAATTAGTAATTAGATCACTTGTGTTCGTATCTTACAGACATATGCTTGTAGAATCACTGCCATCGGCTTGTGACAAAACTAATTAGACAGTCATGCATGTCACATATCATCGTGTTTTAGTCTAGGGATGAATTAATCAGTAGCTGATGAGGGTTACCCAAGGGAGAAAAGCTTATTTTCGTATTTCTAAGTACTTTCGAGTATTTCTGAAATACGTAAAAATACATAAATATATTTTTCCCCCGCTTCATTTGACCTGTATCCAAGCGCCGAGGATTTTTTTTTTCATTTAAATTTGATAATTATTGTATGGTGAACTTTTCGCTCTAAAAAGTGACACCAGCATAGTTTCGATATAATGTCGTTTCGGATTCGATTGGACGAATTTTTTCTGTTGATCAATACCGATATCGACGCGCATCCATAGCTGATCACCGGGAGCATCAAGTAGAGCTGTGTATCTCATTTCTCTCAAGAAATATTGATATCAAACACAATGTGTGAAATAACTAAGGAAGAAAGTATTGCGTTGGGGATGAAAACTATCAAGATATCATATAGCAAGAATGAGTCAGATCGAAAAGAAAAATCCAACAAGGTGCGCCATAAATTAAGATGATAAGATTTTAGTACTGCAGACATTACTACCTGAAGTTTTGACACAGAAAAAATATCTGCAAGTAAGTTTTGTCGCTTTAGTTTTGAATACATTTAAAAAGCTTAACGTACTGATTCCTTCCACCAATTATTATGAAAGTATGCAAGAAGAATCCAATTGATAATGCTTCACTTTTCTGAGCAATTAATATAAATGATTCATATGACAAAAAGAGCATGGAAGCAAGTTTTCATAGACAGAAAGGTGTATGTTTAGCCTAAAAGAAGAAGAATGTTTGAATGTGATACAAACGTCTTATCTCAATATCTCCTAGATAAATCATTCAAAATAACTATAAAATGTTTCACACTAAGTATTCGAAATCATCAAAAACAATTCACTTCACTTCAATTACCAACAAAGAACATGATATATTATTTAGACTAGCTTCAAAGTAAAAATAAATTATATATTTGAACTAATAGTTCTACGAAATTTCGCCAATGCCGAATTTCCCGAAGAGTTTCGAAGTATTTTGAAATTCTACTAGAAATTCAGCATTGTCAAGATTCAAATAGCAAAATTCTATTTTGCCGAACTAATAATACAAATTTTAAATTATGCCAATATTCTACAACTCATAAACAGTTAATTCATAAACTTTTGTTTGTGGTAACTATCTAAAAGCTGTCTGAATCGTGTCTTCTCATTTGCGAACATAAAACCGAAATTTAAAAGCTGCTTAAGTAAATTTTAATGATTTTTTTAATTTTAAATTATTTAAACAAAAATCAATTGAAAGTTTGAGCTTTTCGTTTTTTAAATTTTAAAAATTTCACTCAATTCAATTTTTCAAAGTACTTTCACACTCGGTTTTACTTTAAATAACTGTAATTTGTAGAGTTCACTTGACAACATTGTTGCTATGTATGTGATAAACTTTTTTTTCTTGACCTTTACCACGATCTAATTGTCATAGACGAAACGAAATATAGAATGGTTATGAACTAGTCGAAGTTACAGAACATTTGTAAACAAAAATGAAGGGTAAAAAAACGATGTCCGAATAAAGATGGCTTTGAAATAAGGGTGCTGATTAACGTATTCTCTTTGTGCACACGCACGCATCCTACATTCACAATAAATATGGAATTATCAGTATAAATTATAGTAGAACCTCTTTGAAAGTCTTCCTTGCTTTCAATTAAAATTCTTATCAACTAAGTATCAATTTTTTGACGATCCTTGCTCGTGCGTTTTGACTATTAATTTATAAATAACAAAGAAAAACAATTTTATTAAAATCTCTCTAGCATCTCGTTTTGACTAGCATTAAATTCTTTTGTTTTTTCGCAACTCTTCTCTCTTATTAATCAGATCTTTCAAATGCATCTATAAAATTTAATCGATTTTCAAAAAGTTAAAGATATGATCAACTTTTTAATACATCGAAAAGTTAAAATAGGTTTATTATACTTAAGTAAAATTTTAGTCGTATTTGCAAATGAGAAGTAACCGTCTGAATTTATTTTTATTATCGCTGCATATTGTGCGAGACTTACACAGAAGGATAAGGTATCAAAAAGTAGTACTAACACAATTTTTCAAGTGATTCTGTATAAAAAAATAAAGCTATTTTTTTCTGAAACTATACGAAGCAAGATGATCTCGATTATTGTGATTTCGTAAGCAAAAATATGAAGATGAAATTCTAATAATAAATGTGTGTTTCTTCTGTACTTGTAGACAACCAACTTTAAATGGCTACTTGTTCTAATTTCGTCCAAGATCAATGGAGACCAAATCAATGTATCGAGTGTTTTCAAGGAAAAGAAAAACATTTCGAGACCAAGACGTCAATACCCATTGTTGTGGATTTAATTCAATTATCGAAACCGGATGCTCAATCACGCGACTCAACACAGCAACCATCAACTGTCGATGATGTCGCTCTACCAAGAAGTCTTAGTCGTTCGTTCACCACTAGAACAAATTACGATACAAAATATTCTCAGAGTAATCATAATAATCTAACAAAAAACTTGATTGATATTCCATCAAGTAAATCCAATACCGATCAAAATATAGCAGGACTACAAGTAAGGACTGGTTCCATCAATTACAATGATATCAAGCTAAACACACATCCTATCGTTGAAAGTAGATCTATGCCAATACAAATATTGCCTAGATCTGTACTTTCAAGTGATATTCAATTCAACGTGCCATTGAATGAGGAAACCACATTCATGAAGGTAAATGACCAACAACCATCACTTAGTTCTTGTAATTCGGATAGTACCGAAGTCAGTATTCCTTCTGTCGATGACAAGAAACTTGTACAACAACAGATCCGGACTAGTTCAATAATATTCAATGATGTTCAATCAGTCATGTCTTCAGCAGAGAAAACAAAATTAAGCGAAGATAATGAAAATCAAATAATGGTGGGCTCTATTATTCCTGATGGTGTTCAATTAAGTACCTCTTATACGGAACAATATAGATTTAGACAACAGGAGACGTGTGACACTTGTCTGACTTCCAATGATGTTCAATCCAAGATGTCTTTTTCAGACCGAACCACATTAAGCGAAGAAAATCACAAACAACCGGTGGTTAATTATGCGACTTGCAACAATACTCAACCAATGATGTTGTCTGCCGATCGAGATAGATTTGATCAACAATCCAATATGATTTGTGCCGCTTCCGGTTCTATTCAATCTAGCATAGATCTGTGGACAATCATTGGTGTCGAAGAAAAAGAAATACCAGAGTTGAAACGACTTGATAAATTACTAAACAAATTTCAAGAACAGTCGGCTAGTGGTGACGATCTGGAGAATAATATCGATGCTTTAATTAGAATTTTAGGTTCCTTATGTAAACATCATTATACTGTTTTTGAAAAAACTGATATTACAAAGAGGGAACGTTTTTTTCAATCTATTTCTAACAGACTTCAACCGATAGGAAAAATTCTGAAGAAAATAATTCCTCATGAAACATGGAAAGCATTACGTGAACAAACACAGTTATTAGAAGCATTATGCAAATTTAATTTCGATGAAAAACCATTGATATTTGCAGTGAAAGCGTTAAAATATATCAATTTTTCAAAAGCTTTAGAAAATCAATTCATCAATTTGATTGATGAAATGAGACGTGAATATCCAAATATATTAGATGATATATTAGCAGAAGAATATAAAAAACTTAAGAACAATCGAGAAAAAATTGTAATTACAGTTCTTGGTAGTACCAAATCATCAAAATCAAGTTTCATTAATTTTTTATTACAAGATGAAATTTGTCCAACGGGAAATAAAGCAGCGACAGCACGATTAACAAAAATTACCTATGGTCAACGAATATGTTTAACTCTAAAAAGTTCAATATGTAATACATCAGAATCAATAGTATTCAATGATACACGAGAACTTTTACAAAAAGCAAAAGAATTTATTATATTGAACAATGAGGCTCGTAAAAGTAAATTATGTGAAGATGAAGTTTTGATCGAATTACCAATTAATGAATTGAAAAATGTTGAACTATGGGATGTACCAGGATTTGATGAAAATCCCATTATTAACGAGCGTGTAGAAGAAATTTTAAAAGATACAAATTTAACATTTTTTATTATACCCCAACAAGATATTTTACGACAAACATCTATTGATTTTATTAAACTATGTTTAAACCAGCATACTACCATAGATGATAAAAGCAAGAGCAAACCAATGACAAAAATTTGTTTTATTATTAGTCAGATCGATAAATATAAACCAGATGGACAATTTCAAGAAAGTAAACATTCGTTTTTAAAACATATTTATGATAAAATCGAACAAGAATTAAAAATTGATTTTCAAATCACAGACTATAAATCATCTAATCAATTTATACCAATGTGTAGTAATCATTTACATAGTATCAAAGATTATCTTGAATGTTGTGAGCAATTTATTGAAAAATCAAATCAATGGTTTCATGATGCTTTAAAGAACGAAGCTTATCTTCATTTAAATAGATTGTTGAAATTTATAAAAGAATTTTCGAATTATGATGATCTATTTCGGCAAGAAGCTCGTCATAAACGCATGGAAATAATATTCAATAAACGTTTTTCAACATTTAGTAAAGAGTTAACAAAAAGTGTAAAAGATAGCTTGAATGAAATCTACTTGCTTATGAAAGGATCAATCGATGAATTTGTGAAGAAATGTTTAATGTTATATAATAAAAATGAAAAGGTAGAAAATATTGAAGCATATATCCAAAGTCAATTAATTACAAGATTCAGCGAAATTTTAGAAGGTAACAAGTCAAAAATTCTACAAAAGATCAACAAAATCTTTTTACAATTTTCAAATACAATATATCTGAAACCTCCCGATATTCAAATCTTAAAACAAGTACTTGATGACGTATTAACCAACGATTCGTACAAAGGTGTAATTAAACAACATCAGCATACATCTCCATATCATCTGTTCACTTATTTAAAGAGGATGTATCAAGCACTATCGCATGTGATGATAGTCTCTATAAGCAACGTACATGAAAATTGTGAGGCTTCTAAACGTAAATGTCCAAGATTAGTCAATCGCGAACAATTTGTTAAAGAAAGCACGATGAATTCGATAACAAATCTAGTTAATGACGTACTGAAAACTATTTCTGATGATTTACACAATAAAGCTGAGAAGACGTTACAAGAATTTCTTGATAATCAGTTAAAACAAATACATGATAAAATAGAAGAAAACGCAAACAAATATATTCATTCAACTCTGGTTGGCGAAAAAATCGATTGTATCCGTCTATTTTGTGAAAATCATTCAGTGGAAATTAAGCGTATACATTTAGATATTCTTGATAAGCAATTTAAACTTCAATATTCAACTAATGTGATTATTAATGAAAATGAAAGATTAGATAATAGAAGTAATTTTCGCCTGTTTACCGGCATACTAGGAAAAGAGAAATTACCGATAGCTGCTAAATTAATACCATTAAATAATTTCAAATTACAAGAAGTACTTTATATACATGAGCTTGATCATGTGAACGTTATCAAGTATTATGGTATCAAGAAAAAGATACAAGATCAATATTATATCTTAATGCCACGTTTAGATTGTAACTTATCTACATATTTAACAGAAAATTCTAAGAGATTGAAGAGTGAAGCAATCGATAATATGATCATACAAATTATCGACGGCTTAAATTATATACATAGACAATTGGAACTTGTTCATCGAGATATTAAATTACAAAATATATTAGTAGACAAAGCTAAAAATTTATTTTTAATTGCTGATTTAGGTGGTGCACATCGAGAACCACTAACAATTATAGGTACTAAAGGTTATGCTGCACCAGAATTAGTTTCAACAAACAATCAAGAAATAATTACAGAAAAATGTGATATGTATTCGCTTGGTGTAGTTATTCAAAAAATACTACGAACAGCTAATATAGAACAAAATAATGATAGCTTAATTATTGGTTGGTCAAAAATTTCCGAACAGTGTTTATCAAAAGAACCTTCAGCACGTCCAAGTTGTGAAAATATTTTGGAGAAACGTTTCAAGAATATCGACTAATCATCATATTTATATAAAATATAGCTACCTGTAACTGTTTTTGATATGGACTTTTTTCTTTTGTATGGTGTAGGTGTGGGGAGGGGGGGTGTAAGTGTGCGGATGTGGGTAGGGGGGGTGTTAGTGTGCGTGGGTGTGGGTCTTGATCTTTTCTACACCCACACTCCGAAGATGGCTAGAACTTGACCTGAAAATAAGAAAGAAGAGCCCTCCTGAAATCTGATTGGTTGATAATTGACCAATCAGATTCCAGGAAGCTGTTTCTCACTTTTTGTCAGGACAAAACATGGGATTGTTCGGGTCACATGAAAGAGAACTCTTGATAACCTATAGATCGGCCCTAACAACCGCGTGTTGTGGGTGTGGGTGTAGGACTTGATCTCTTTCTATCCACTGTCACACACACACCCGATCACATTTGCTAATATTTTATACTTTCAAATGAGATGAAAACAATCAGAAAATGCTGATCATATGAGTTTTATAGGCATCCTTTTATTCATAAAATTGGATATAACCCATTTCAGTTGTTCCTTACAGTTGACAGAATCAGTTTTTATCAGATAAAATATTGAACAACGATTGATTTTGGAATGATAATATATGTTTTACATATTAATGGAAAAAAAACTTGCCATAGACAAATAATGATTTATAAAATAACTTAAAATTAATTCTAATGCTATTTTAATCTATGTGTAATCGAACGTAAGAAGGCAATAGGTAACTATAAATCGAATTTTTTAATAATAGAAAACAAAAAAATACCAGCTATAGTAATTAAAATCTTCACAAATGTCTATCTAATTATTCTAAATCATGAATATATGCCACATAATGTATTGATACCTTATCTGATAATGTAATTTTTTTGTTTTAAATGATAAAATATATTATGAGAAGTACATAAAATGGGGTATAAAATGTTTCAACGTATCGTTTGCTAAGACATATTTATAAATTATATTTTTCTAATATTTATTGCGCATTGTAGTAATTTTCAACATCATCACTGAATGATAATTAATATTTGGTGATGTAAAATTGCCTATAAATATTCCAAGATCTTTTCGAGCCCATAAATCACGGACAATTGCTGCTTGATCATTCGGAAATGCAATATCTGTCCATTTGACGGTGATTGATTCACTTCCACTATTACCTCGATTAAGTAAAACAACAGCTTGTGAATGATCTGAGAGTGAACCAGCCCAAATTTCAAGTTCCTGTAAAACAGTTAAACATTGACCATCATGTTTAGTTCGTACTGTTCCATCTGTAGTATTCCATAACCATTGTTGATAATCTTGTTTATCCCATGTATGTGCATCAACATTTGGTCCATGCAGAAGATTGACATTCAAACTAGTAAATTTAAATTTCAGGTATTTATTTCTCGATAATCAAAGAACTTACCACTTTCCATTCATTTGTGAAATAACAGTTTGATCAGCTGTCCCAACAGTCCATTGTTGATTTTTTCCTTGACATTGTGTTTGTGAATCATTAATATGACATTCACTTAAAACAATAGTAGCTCCTTCAGCTGTACTACAATTATTAATGGATAAACATCGTCGATTGAGTGCTGATCGAATTGTTCCATCTTGAGAATTGTATATCCATTGCAGACGTTTTGGTTCTATTTTTGATGATGTTGAACAATTTGCAACAACAATCTCAGTTGATACATTGGGGAATCGTGATGATGCAAAAGCAACTTTTTTTCCTTGTATACCTAATGGATCTTGATTAATAGCAATTACTTCAGGATTAGTTAGAATAGATAAAGTAACTGCACTCATATTAGTTACATCACATCCAATAAGTAAGGGTGCTTTGCTAATAGCCCAAAGAGAGAAGTGTGTAACATATTCAGCATCAGTCATACCACCATTTCCAATTTCAAGCACAAAAAAAGTATAAAACAAATGAGACTAATTATAGAATATAAAAACTTTACTTACTATCAGGATCATTCCATCCACCAGGACCAGCTTTATCAGCAAAGTCGTTATTCTAAAAATGGAAAAAAAAAATATTCTAATGTAAAAAGGTCAATATATTACCTTACAATATCAATATTAAACATCATTGAATTCCAATTATCTTGAGTATCTCCTTTTGTTCACCAACTATTTCCAACATCAGCTGCCCATAATGCAGGTGTATCAACACCCCATTCTATACATATGATATCGGGTAATACATAGATTTGAATTTCTCAATAATGAACATACCACACATGGAAAAGAAGATAGATCGTCCACTAGCATTTAAAGCATCTCGCATAACTGGATATTGAACTTCAGGAATAGTTCCATCTGTATTACAATTATCATATTTTAAATAATCAACATTCCAAGATGCATATGTATTAGCATCTATTGTTTCATAACCAAGTGAACCAGGTCGTCCAGCACATGTCTTAAATCCGGCATCTAATGTATTTAGTAATAAATAAATTAACGTAAGGAATACATGTAATTATCGTACCTGAAGAAAGACCAAATTTAAGTTTTCTTGAATGAACATAATCAGCGAGAGCTGGTATTCCACTTGGAAAAGCATGAGAATCAGGATGAATAATACATTGACTATCTCGGGTCAATTGCCAACAATCATCCAGATTCACTATAGAAAATGGAAAATATGCTATACATTATAAATAAGAGAGGAACAAACCATATTGATATCCAGCGGCTGCAAGACCTAAGGCTACGATAGCATCTGCAGTTTGTTGAATTATTTTTTCACTAATATTACGATGAAAATGATTCCAACTATTCCATCCTTGAATGAGTCAATTATGAAAAAAGATGCATAAAATTTTAGTGTTTTACCCATTTGAGGTGTTCTACCCAGTCCATCATTCAATTCATAAGAAACCCTGATGAAAAATATTAGGTATACTACCGTTGAGGTTATCATCTTCTATTGTTAGTAGAATGCAAAAATAATGTAGCTTGGTAAGCGAGCACTGTCCTTTTATCTCTTACTTTATTGATAAAGCAACGTGCAGCAAGCACATTGGCTATGTTCACATTACTATCTTGATTTCAGTATACTGGTATGTTTATGTGGATATGCACAAATTTTTTCTTCTCCAGGATATGGATGAGGGTGTGACAAGCTACCACGCTATAAGTTGTATTTAGATTTTACTAGAATCTTATCAAGTGGCAAGTAACTCTACAACTGACTTCAAAAATAAAGTTGAATCAAACATTGCAATTAATAAGAAATGCAAGAAGTAAAATGAATACTGCAAATGGAAGAATTGACGGCAGTTGAATTCTACTTTATGTACTTTTATAGGAACGACATAGATATCAGAAAGAAATCCTTCGTAATTACTTCACTAACTCGCTTCTGATGGTCGAAAAAAGAATTTCTCAAAGGGTTTCTGAAAAATTTAGATTCACGAAAAGAGTTTAAAATGGTATTTATGAGATATTTAATATACGAGGGAAAGGTTTTAGATATGGTTTATACGATGTCCACATACACAATAAGAGTTTAAAATAGGGTATAGTGATCTCATATATCCTTTGATATACCCGTTCGAAGAACTTATTGAAAGGTTTGGAATATTCATAAGCTCTCTCATAAACCTTTTCGAAGTGTATTTGAAAGTATTCATGATAATCTAGACATATGAGTGCTGGTGGCTGTGGGCGTGGGTATGGGACTGGACATGTTCCATAGCCATACCGACAGAGACACCCACACCCTCAGAAATTTAATGAAGATATTAATGGCGTAACCAGAAACAAGTTATACGAAGAGATTCAACGTTCTCATTATGTTTATAGGGAGGAAGGAGACTCTCTGGTAACGCTTCCTATGGGATCTTGAGTAGAGATTGCAGAATTACTCTATTCTACTCTGCCGGGTAAGCGTAAAGTAAAGGTTAGGAAATTTCTTTCAGTCAGAATATGAAAGAAGATTGTCTTGCACATCTCTAACATGCTACTATTTTTCTCTGTCAGAGTAGAGGATATGGAAAAAAGTTTATCGGTTACATCTCTAGGCTAAATCTTTTTTTTTAAGCCGAAAATCATTAGAAGATGTATCAAGAGATTGTAATAGAAGACTTTATTAATTGTAATGATGAACTTGAAGACGTATTATCCGTGAACAAAAACATTTTCTGTCATTCTCATCTTTTACTAAATCCAAATACGTTATTTCTATTTTAATGAGTCTTCTCCAAAGTGCATTAACTATGTAGATAAAAAAAATAAATTGAGTTCAATAAATCGTTCGATCTTGATTTGTACTTGTTCAAGTTTTCGTTGATCTCAATTGATAAATCTTTTATTTACCAATAGGTAAAATCGTTTTCAAAATTCTTTTGAATATGAAATCAAATGATTTTTGATTCAATTCAATTTACATGTACTTAAAATGAAACGTATACTAACCAATCCTTTAAAGTGTCAAACTTTTTCAAAGCCTTATTTTAATATCTACATTCATTATTAAGCTTCTCATTTTCATTATTTAATCAAATGCCTACTTTTTAACAGCTGGAAAGCGATCTTCTTCTCGAAATGTACCTTTCTGAGATGAAAATCTATATTAAAAACAAAAACAAAACATTTATAAAAAAGTTTTTCAATAATTCAGTAAACAAAGTTTACTTTTTTTGCAGCAAAATTCGCTATTTGTTCCATTATTTGAAATGTTTCTTCAATTTTTCTAAACATTTCAAAATTATGTCCATGTAAACGAGTACATACATGTTTTATTTCCGATACAAGATTATGTGTACGTTCAAGTGTCTGAAAACAAAAGAAAAAATGATTTTCCATTAATTGATTTACTAAAACATACAGCAATATTTACAATAATATCTGCAAATTTAATTAATATAGTTATTTCTTTGCCGAATAAATCCGAATGAAAATATAGATAATTTACAGATAAATAAAGATAACCTTGTCGACGTACACAACCGTGCCAATAAGAACATGAATAATCTTTGAAATAGAAGTTCAAAAACAAAAAAAACAACTAAGATTTATTTCTTTATAAAATTCTTACAAATAATAAGTTTTTCGTCCCATTGGCATATTAAATAGTTTATGAAATTTTTCTGTTTCATTTTTAAACTTTTTCGATTCAAAATCTATAATTAATTTCTTTATATATATAATTATTACAATGTAACTTTTTGGTTTACCTTCAGTATCTTCATTAGTAGCTTCTGCACATAAACTTTTTATTTTTCGTAGTAGAAAATCACTATTATCGTCATCAGCATCAATTCCTTCTAAAATAATAATTATTAAAAATAATTTAAAAATAAAAATAAAAAAAGACTTTTAGCAATTGTTCGTATTATATTTATTTCAATCTATTTTCAGTGCTCTTCAATATCTTCTTTTGCGTTTCCTACAACTATTATTAAAATTTTAAATGATTCATGAAATATGATTCTTACAATAATATATTTCAGAATCCGGTCGTTTATAAAGTATACGATAATGATTCCTCTATTGAAAAAAAAAACTTCAATTTAAATAGATCATTTAAGTTTATTCTTAATGATACGTTATGTAAGACATTATCAACAGTTGCAACAAGAAAACTGGTCAATTATTTATTTTGAAAAAATTTTTTATAACAAACTTCCCAGGCAGACAAACTTTTGAGAAAACGCGTTTAAACGCACAAAAATTGGCCTAAAATCAACAAAAAGTGGACGTTTTTGGCTCACACTTGAGGTTCCCGACTGTGAGCCAAAAACGCCCATTTTTCGTCTTTTTTGTACGCTTAGGCGCGTTTTCAGATAATAAACGCACTTATACGTTTACAAAAAAGAGAAAAAGTGGTCGTTTTTTATACTTCAGATGCTCGATCATGATTACAGTCGCGTTTCTCGAGCTGGAAAAGCAGAACAACTTTTTTTCTTTCTTTTAAATGCGTGTAAACGCGTTTATTGTCTGAAAGCGCGTTTAAACGCACAAAAAAGACAAAAAATGGGCGTTTTTGTTGATTTTAGGCCAATTTTTGTGCGTTTAAACGCGTTTTCTCAAAAGTTTGTCTGCTTGGGTTCTTATCGAAGCCTCTGAAGGTGTTACCCACATTCTCGTAGTATAACAATGATAAGATAATGAAGGAATAATAAAATAAAAAAAAACGAGAGCTCAACCAAAGAAACATAAAACATTTGATTTATCTGATATGAATGTCTAAATCAACAATCAACGTTAATTATTAATACAGATTTTTTTTCTTATTATGCAAATAAACAAACTATAACTTCGAATTTCTCCTATGATACTATCAACATTCATTGTATTAATAGAAACTTTTTATAATCATTTAGCCCAATTTTGAGTTAGCCGCAAGCAAAATTCAAGAGTGTCCCGAGGTCGATGATCCAGGAGATTAAGTCGAAGGTTTTGCTAAAGTTGACCCTATTATGGGTACGAGGTTGAACGGCTTTTTTAGTGGATAGATGAGAAAAAAGTATTATAACTCGCGAGAAAAACGAAACTGTTTTAATATGACAAGGAGAGTTACCCGTTCGAGACACCCTTGTTAAAATTACATATAATTATATAAAAACTATTCACAGTTATACCAAATGTGGGTGTGGGTGTGAGCCTACGAAAGACAAGCAACCATATCCACAAAAGTAGCACTCACACTCACACCTCACATCCATAATTCTAAATAATATACGATGCGAAGAATGAATTTATTATGATAAATTTTTAAATCTGAATTAAAACTCTGTAAGCAATTCAATCAGTTCAGCTAATGATCTCTCGCATATACTGATCTAAACATAAATTTCTTGCATTCATCGGACAGCATTCATTTGTATTTGTACCATGGGAATCTGTTTGACATTTTCAATGTAATCGTTAATAGTTGTCAAATTGCTCTCACTCTGTTTCTGTACCAGGCCTCTTACGCATTGTTCATGGTCAGCTTTAAGTTTTACAAGCTCTCCATATAATTTCCGATTGGCTTGGTGGTTACTTGTACTGTCACAAATATAATTCTCTTCATCGATCATTCGATTGAGATTGATCAAGAATGGATCATCTTTGGAAAGGTAAGCAACATGTGTAAGGAAATAAACGAAGTTCACAGTTGCAGAAAAAATTTCTTTATCCCATGTGGCCAACTGATCCAGTGTATAGTTAACATTATCAACTAACTTGTAATCAAGTTCATAGTCGACGCGGACGTGTTGGTTTCCATCACATGAACAATCTTCGCATGGAATTCTGTATTCGTGTAAAGAATCGCATGTGACCCAAAAGATGCCATATTGTTTAACGGAACGCTGGCATGAATAGCATGTTGCTGAAGGTCGTTGAAGAGGTTTCGGTCGTAGCTCGATAAATTTATATCGGGATCCCCACTTATATAAAATCTGGCCTCGAAGAATATTTCGCATTGCTTCCATTATTGGACGAATCATCTGCATGATTTTTACTCGTGCAATTTCTTTTCTTTGTAATCCTTGATGTAAGAGATATGGGAAATCGCGTGGATTAATATGCTGCAAAAGTAGTTCTACTCCGTTCTTTGAAATTTTCCAGCTTTTTTCACATTCCGACTCTTCACTATTAAACCAACGTGACATAGCCAAATGAAGAAAGAATGCACTGTCGAAGTAAAATATGCCCTTCGGTTTTGACGGGATTTTATCAATAGCAAGCGATTGCAGCAGCCCTTGAACTCGAGTTTTTCTTTCATCATCGTTCATTTGATTGGAAAGGCACTTGGTGAAACAAAAAACTAAATTTTTATGCACTTCTTGTCCCATGAAATCGAGCAATGGCTTCAAATACTGCCGATAGCCACAGAGTTTCGAGTCATTCGGTTCCATCAAAACACAGATCGCATTCAAATGCGTTAGATTCGAGATGTATGATATGATATGCTGTATATTCATCTCATTCTGTACCTGATCCTGCGTATAAAAAAAACCAGGAGTATCGATGACGCATAACTTTCGCCCATCTCCAACATCGAATGTGTACGATCTACAACGTTGAGTTATAGAATGACTGTGATGATCATGATCTTCATTAGAATCGTTTTTACCAAGTCGAACGAAATGCTGTTCTCCATCAAACTTTACCGGAAATGATAATGAAACAATCATGCGCATGTTAGATTTATTCGCTTGAGCTTCTGAAAATGTTTTGAATTTGAAGCAGTTAGCAATTGTGTTAATTAACATCGATTTGCCGACTCCTGATTTACCTACGAAAACGATATTAATCATCTGATTGACAGAAAACACAAGTGGATGAGAGTTGGAACTCTTCGTCGTCGGTACCAAAGAATCGCGGATGCCACCACAAGTTGGACTAAATTTTGTTGAAAAAAACACTTTTATCATATTTAACTTGTATGAACAGTCCGAAAAATCGACATAAACTAGCTTCAACTTAGGGTTCTCTTTACGTTCATTAAGCATTTGTGAAAGAATTTCTTTGAATTGTGGTCGACTCGCCGCATTTAAAGTGTCATCGGAGCACAAGATACGTTGCTGTCGAATATCTTGAATTAATGTCTTCTGAATGACATCTTCACTGTGGCCTTGTTTAATACCACGTTTCTTCGCATTCCAATACTCAAAACCATTCTTTTCTAAGTACTTGATAAAATCATGTTTCTCTTCCAAAGTTCTCATCTCATGTTTCAAACCTTCGATACTACGTTTCAACTTTGTTTCTTCTTCCTCAATCCGTAAGCGTTGTTCTATAGTCTCTTGCAGCTCTTTCGCCTGACGAATATGTTTAATCCAACTTTGGGCTTGTTTCTTTTGCTTGTCATATTGGTTCATTAATTCTGAGACTATTTCACGTACCTTGCCGAACTGTTCCTTAAGATCAGTTTGCCAAACATCTGACTTTGCCTTGTTTTCAAATATTGTCCATATTTTGATGAAAGTTGAAAATCGAAGCCAATAGTCTTCAATTCTTGTTGTGATTCTTGGTTCGATTGGAACAAATTTGGTATTCTGTTGGTTGTGCCCAGAGCAAAAATTTCTAATGGGAGTAAGAATATAGTTGCAGGGCTGATGTTCAGTTAGAGTATTTTTTATTCTACATATTTCTCGGTACACATCAGTTATTTTAGTCTGTTTGGCTAAATGAGGCACATTTGAATAAACGTATGTCGGAGTAATTCGATTCAATACATTTTCATCAACCGTTAGCTGAGTCCCATGCTTCAAGCAGTGACGTATTTGATCGAGACTAGCATCGATAGCTTCCGGATCATCAGCCGGTAATGTCATTAAAACCAAAACATCAATACCCGAATCCATTGCGGTGATGATGTGAGTGGCAGGAATTTTGTATGGTTCTTGTTTTTGAATGCTCTTCTCGTCAATTACGGCTTCTTTTCGAACCAAGTAAGAATAATAGAAAATGCGAGTGCATTCATCGATTTCAAATGGATAATCAACAACTAAAGCAATACCCGCCGGTTTAACTAAATTGGATAACACACTCAATCGGAGGTCACCGGGAAAATCAATGCGTCGGAGGATATTTCGATTCTCAAGTTTCTTGCCACTTTTTATGACACATTTTATTGGTGGATACGAAGAATCTTCATTGATAATCAAACTAATATTGGGTGATTTTATAATACTATCTTGCCATCCGTCATAGAAATATCCGATATGACCGGAGGAATCGATTGCCTTGCGTAGAATTGTGTTCGACGTCAAATATTGAGTCAATGAAGTTTTAGGCTTCATAACAAGATTTTGCATCAGTTCTACAGAGGAAGTCACCATCGATTTGAAGAAAGTACCATTAGAAAATGTTATTAGATGGTCTGTATCTGGAGCCTTCTGGTTTATGGACCATTTTTCTCCTTCGTAGGCAATCCAACTGCTCACACAAAGAAGAAAATTCTTGGCATAGATAGAATCCAACCATTTTGTTGGCAATTTCTCGTATCCATAGTAAGCACCAGCCAATTGACCGTAAATAGCTGCTGTTGTGTCTGTATCATCACCCAAATTAACTGCATTAAGTGCACCTTTCTCGAAACAGTCGTTATCAGTCCAAAATGCCCACAAGGCAGCTTCTAGAGCATTAATAATGTATCCTTTTCCTCGAATTCCATCTTTGTAGCCACCTGCTTTTGTTTTATACGATCCTTGAACAATTGCCATGACTTCAGGATGAAGAGTTCGACCACCGAACCATTCCAAATGATTATCGTAAAATTTCTCGCTAAGCAATTTTTCTTTCTTTATACCATTAAAGGCAGCTATGATGAGAGCCCCATAGTAACAACAAACATCATAAACTTTGTCATCTCCATGAGTGATTTTGCCACTTACGCCCGAATATTCCACAGCGATTACCGGATCTCGAAAGAAGAAGATTGGTACAGGCACGAGACGCATCAGAGCTCCGTTCCCGGCCACACCTTTTCGACTACATTCGACGTTGAATGCTTCAATAAGATCACGATCAGACAAAAAGTCTATTTGATCTAAAGGAATGTTATGTTTCTGTGAAAACATTTTCTGGCGTTTTTCAAATTCTACGATGGAATCTTTAGATGCTGCCCCAATGTCGAAACAATGACCAGTCGATGACATGTAACCATGTTGATACCACCACTTGTATCGAACTAATTGATCATATGCAACAAAGTCTTGACGAGCAATAAGAGAAATAGCCAAACAAAGCGCCATCGAAGTATCATCGGTGAACTACAAAAGGAAACTGCTTTACAATTTCTATTGTTGCAGATCCTACTTGTCCTCGTGCTAGACCCCATGTTCCTCCTCCTACTAGGTCCTTCACTGGATTAGCAACCAAATAATCATGAGGTCTGAACTCGACATGAGCACCCAGGGCATCACCTACGGCTAAACCAAATAATGAACCTTGGATACGATCCACAATAACCTTGTTGATGTTCAATAGTGGAGCATAGTCTTTCTCAGTGATTCCAAACTCATCAGGTTTCTTAATAGACGTTTCATCGACATCATGAAACTGACATTTGAACCAAGGCTTCTCTAAAATGATAAAAGCACTGTTATTTTCGAATAGTTAAGAAAATTGATTGAATCCAATCTCTGAATTAAATGCATTAACCACACGGACAGTTTTTTATAGGACAAGAAAATCATCAAGACTTGCCTTTCTTTTTTTTCGGTGCGGAAGACTTTGTCGCTGACATTTTTTTATCTAGAAATAAATGACAAAATAGATTTTCCGAAGTAAATCCTATTCAACATGAACATGCGATTAAACCATTTGAGTGTAAGGAACAAGGAGACGTACACTTGTATGTTAATAAAAATCTCTTCTTTCTCGTAATGTTATGTATGACTTATTGGAAATGAGACTAGACATATATAAAAATTGCTCTGGCTTCTATAGCATATATTCATTGATTTTATTCGCATATTAAATTCATTGCAGATTGAAGGATTTCAAGCAGCTTTACTCGAGCGGATTGTTCAATATCATGACAGGCTAATCATTTATTTTAGATGAGTGATCTAATAGCTATTCATTATTTCATGTGTTACAAAATTAGAATGATATTCATTAAATATTTTATCTGTTATTGCTGGAAGGTTTAGATGAGATTAAAATTGAATCAAATAAAAAAAATTTTCAATTCCTAAATCCAACAATCCACCAAGCACTAATTTTCACTTAAAAAGACATAGTCAACTTCCTCTTAAAACAGCTTACAGTGATTGCAGCGACTCCTTTTTTCATAACCAATGAAAACAATCAGTAATGCTGAGAAAGAAGCGACATGTTACTCATATAATGGGGAAAATGTATTTTCTTCCATAAACAAGACGAAATAACTGTCGTCAACTTGTCTCGAAATAACAACAGTTCTTTTCAACAAAGTTTACTATTGTTACATTACTCGCGTTTCAAGCCCGTTCATATTTTTGTAGACCACATATCGAACATTAATTACTTTCGTGCACATATATTATCCGTTATTACTTACCACTGTCAGCAGAGAAAAACAAATCAAGAAACTGATAAACGCACCATGTTGACTTAGTTTTCACTATTAAACTCTTTTCTGTCGTTGCCGTCCCTCAATGTTTTGTTTTTACCTTTTTATTTATTCTTCTTCATAGTTTTTCTCTTGTTACTCAAGCTGTTTGCAAGAAATCCTCATAATAAGAGAAAAATATTCGATGAAAAAACAAAATATCGCAGTGTATTGAAATAAAAAACCACGTGATCCAATAGTATACAAATTAATTTCATAGATGATGTAGACATTTTTTAACAACAAACGATGAGTACATTTTTTTTCTTGCACCAAATACAACAGCAGACGAAGTATATTCTATGCCGATTTTTAAATGAGTTGTTCGTGTGGGTGTGGATGCCGATATGAATGCAATGAAGTCACCCACACCAGCACGTCGATCCAAATTCAACAGACCATGGAAAATACATAGAATTTCTTAAAAGTCATGGAATGAACAACTCTTAATTACTAAATCGCAACTGTCGCTAATAAAGCCTTTGGAGTAAGATTAAGAATTTATTTTTTGTTTTGAGCATTTGCAATTTACCATTGATGAAAATCTAATGCTAAGTGAGCAATTATTGAATCAGTATAATTAAAAAAATTTTACAATATCAATGTAATATATAAAGAATAATGTTGAACCAACTTAGTTTAGATCGAACATGATAGCTATGAGTCGATTATAAATCTACCAGTTTTAACTTACATGAAACAGATTAACTCAATAACTAATTAAAGATTATGAATGAGAGCAAATGTTTTTATACTAAGTTCTTTGTCTTTTTCTGTTTTTTTTTTAAATTTTTATTCTAGTAAATATATTTTGTCACTTGGTTTTTTTCGGAATTTTTTATGTTGGCTTCTGATTGTTTAGTTTCTTCTGCAAATCCAACTGTAGTCTTATCATGTGATAATATTAAATAGAAACAGTGTGATTGCACTGTTTAAATACGCTAACAACCTACTATCATCTAAGGAATTATGTTAATAATAAAATAATTGAGATTGTTTTACACGATTGTTTTTTTCGTATTTTGACAAACATCTGTCAAGGACGCAAGTTCATCTGATAGGTCCTACATACTGGTAAGTTTCTTCTTGAAATTGATCGAAAGCATTTTTTAAGAGTTATAAATAATCATATGAAACTCGAATTATTTTTTATTGAACGAAATAGACACAAGACCACATCAATAACTATTTTTTCTACAAAATTCAAAAACAAAAGATTGAATATAGAATATTAAGAAAAACAACAAACAGCAGTATGTTAGTAGAATTGACATATTCTAGTTACTTTACCATAGGAAATAGTGTAGTCAACTTCACTTGGAGAGTAAAGAAAAATATTCGAATTAAAACTTTTCGTCACTTTCTAAACTTAACATGCATCCACTCACAGCCTTGTGTAGTGGATTATTTTTGTAAAAAAAAGCCAAAGAAAAATGCTTACAGTTGAGTATTCGCTCTATATACAAGTAAAACAAAATTGAATCGCATGATCAGTCTAAATGTCAATTCAACTTTTAATGTTTTTCTTTTTGTTGAATATTGCTTAGGATCCAATTTTTTATTTGCAGACAGTTAGATTTTTTGCTGTTGTTCTTGAGACAATAAATCTTTTTCAAAGTGGATAGTATCAACATCCGTCTCTATTTGATTGTCATTTAACTTCTTTCGTTGCAAGAAAGGAATAGCAAATAGTATGACACCGCTGAGAACAGTACAACCACCACAAATAATATAAGGCCAGAGAAAAGGTCGAGCAAAATGAGAAAATGTATCACGCATTGCCCCTAAAAATAATATATTTTTAAAGAAATGTAAAAATCTGACCGAACCATAAAAAATTAATACTCACCAACAACTGGTGTTCCAATAGCAGTTGCAACACCAATAAAAAGTAAAAGAACACCGAATGCGTCCGATAATTTATTAATGCCAACTATATCAACAAGAACAATCGCTGTTAAAGTAACGTAACCACCTGAAAAGAAGCCAAAAAAGGACGCATAACCTATATGAGGAATAACAGACGAGCCACATAATGGAGCCATTATGGTAGCAACACCAGAAATGATCACTGTCAAAATGAAGAAGAAAAGTCGGTTTACCTATAAAAAAAAAAAAAAACGATTTTGGTAAATAAAACATTTCCTATCAAAACATTTTCTTGCCCATTTTCGATCACCTAAATAACCAATAATTAGACGACCAAATATATTGGATAAACCAATTGCCATAACAATATATGTTCGTTGATCTTTTATGACTTTTGAATCATTTGCAAGATCATCAGCATAGTTGTAAACTGCATTGAAGCCGAGACTTGTCAAAAAATTCGATATAGCAAATAGTGTAAATGCGGCATTTTTCAATAGTTTGATATCGATTTGTTCAATTATTTGATTGAGAAAAGATTTGACTGGTGATTTCTCAATGGTGACATCTGGTAAAATTGATTCGACTACATTCAAAAACAACAATCAATGAAACAATATTAATAAATGTAAAAAAAAAAAGTTCTATGGATATGTTTACCATCGGCAGTGTTATTGTTTGCTATTGTGCATCCATTCTGCGAAATTAAAAGTTTAGAGATTTGTTTGCATTTCGCTTCTTTACATGTTTTTCGTTCTAATCGTCGTTGCTCGCTAGGTTCTTGCGGTAGAGGAACCTAGATAGAATTCATTTTTATCGTTTTGAAAAATGATTGAAAGACTTTTTTTTAAAGAAATTAGCATTAATTCCTCATTTTTACATTTTTGGTATTTTCTCAAAAAATAGAAGTATAATAAACAATTCAATATTTTGATTTATCGAGATCTGAAATAGCTACAGTTAACTTTTTTTTGAATTGTTTATTCATCAGTACATGAAGAAATGCAATATCTTGCTTAAGAATGTATGTGATTTCAATTTTTTTTGCTTGTCACAATCAAAATAGTATTCGGATTGGCTCAATTATTTTTGAAACCGTCTATTTCTAGTCAAGCTACATCTTTATTATATTATACTTCCCAATTGATATCGCTAGATCTATGACTTCTTTTTTGCCTTTTACGATTGAGAATGATGAAGACAACAAAATTAATTACCATTAAGAAACCACATAGAAGACCAAACAAGATGATGCCGGCTTCGATGAGCAATGCATTTTTATAGTTGATCCACGAACGTATATTGACCATTCCATTCATGATATAGGAAAGTACAAATGTACCTACGCCCGAACCACATACAGCGATGCCCATGGCAAATGCACGTTTTCGTTCGAAATACAATCCAACAGAGACAATGGCTGGTAAATACATTAATGCAAAACCAATGCCTAAAAACATCAACATATGAATGAAGTGAAGAAAAAAATGTTTAATATATAGATGCAACCAACATAATTTTTCATATTTCCATAGGCTATTTTTTTTTCTTGACAACGAAAGCATTGCTCAAAAGATTTCAGTCAAACTAACTATACTGCAGGATTCTATCAATGAAAGAGCATACCTCCGATCACACCAATTGTAATATAATAAAACCATATATTGACCCATAGTCGACTGAGAAAAAAACCAAAAGAGGCGATGCAAGTTCCTGCTATAGCCACTCTACGGCAACCGTACATATTAGTGAAAACGGTTGCGATTGGCCCTAAAACATAAAACATATTTGTTAAAAAATAATGTTCAATTCAGAATAATAATAGCTAACCTGCGCCGAGTGTGACAGCTGGTAAAATACCGAATATACTTGACACCAAAGCTCGATTGAGAGAAAGTTCCTTCATCATGGGTTCTAAGAACACTTGACCCATCGAATATGTTATCCTATTTTATTTAAATAAAGCTAGAGAAGATATGAGAAAAAAAATCGCTTACCCATCCATAAAAAAATGGATCATGAATGATGAGAAGACAATGAACCATCCCCATCCACCATCAGGCACGATCGATCCCCCAACTGAAGCTATTTTCTTATCGTTGTTGGTCATTATTGTTTGTGTTTTTTTGATTTTCACTTCTGAAATAGCAATCACAACAACCCTTATTTATGTAACAGAACTTCAAATGAGATAGTAAAATTCAGTTCCATGCGATCTCCTTTGGTTATCATGAAAAATTTCAAGTTTTCTTTCGTCAAAATATAGTTTCAATGAAGATTCTATATCCTAACTCTTGGTATGGTTTATAGAAAAATAATCGACAGATTGCAGATTCTACTGAATTTCAAGTGTTATAGATTTCGACAGAGTCCACAAATACAGTAGACGACAAAAGTCTCCCCCTAGAGGATCTCAGCCACAATAGATGCTGAAGACCTGAAAATGTGTGTGCATATAGTCCGTCAAGCATGTAGATCAGAGACACAATTTCAGCTCGATTGCTTAAAGTACAAGGAGAATTATGATGAACAGAATCTATGTTTTGCATTGAGCTCTTGAACCTAACTACAGACTGCCTACCCCATATTATGTTGATTTTTACCAAACACATGACTAATTCTTCATGTTTTTGCACGGATCTAGAGTTCAGCTAGTGGTCTTTCTTTGCAGAAAAAATGGGTTCATTGGCTCGAATATTGACATCTTTGGATGTTTTCGAATCCTCAGCATTATCTTCAGAATCATCGACACGATGGTCAGATCCATGTCATTTTCCATCAGTACGCAGTTTGTGCATGAAACTTTTGGGCATTAATGTCCAATAACACGAGAAAGTTTTCTAAGAATTTGAGATTTATCCACTGCATCGCTACTGGATTATCGTGTCCAAAGGACACCAACTCATTTCCCTTCACACCCACGGTGACAGTAAAATGGCCACAGTTCTAGAAGGGATTGACGGGCTTCAATGAAATTAGTTTCATTGATAGCTAAAATACAGCGCTGCATAATGAGCGGTTAGCTGGCTTACAAAACCCATCCTTCCCAGACTTATGAAGTTCAATTGCGAAATAGGTGCCAT